CCTCTCTTCCTCCCTTCCTTCCTCCCTCCCTCCCTCTCTTCCTCCCTCCCTCCCTCTCTTCCTCCCTTCCTTCCTCCCTCCCTCCCTTCTTCCCTCCCTCCCTTCCTTCCTCCCTCCCTCTCTCTCTCTCTCTTTCTTTCCTTCCTTCCTTCCATCTTTCTTTCTGTCTTTTTCTTTCTTTTGAGGTAGAGTCTCACTCTGTCACCCAGGCTGGAGTGCAGTAGCACAATCTCGGCTCACTGCAACCTCCACCTCCCGAGTTCAAGTGATTCTCCTGCCTCAGCCTCCTGAGTAGCTGGGACTACAAGCGCCTGCCACCACACTCGGCTAATTTTTGTATTGTTTGTAGACAGGGTTTTGCCATGGTGGCCAGGCTGGTCTCAAACTCCTGGCCTCAAGTGATCCACCTGCCTTAGCCTCCCAAAGTGCTGAGATTACAGGCGTGAAGGACTGTGCCTGGCCCCCCATCTTTTTTTTTTTTTAAGGTAGAGTCTTGATCCGTCGCTAGTTTTCAATCAAGGTAACACAGGGGCTCTCAATAGGGTGTGGAACTCTGCTAGAAAAATCACATTATGAGAACAGCTATTGTGTGATCTCCTGTTGGAAAATGAATAACATAAAATAATATACATTTAGGAAACAAAGTGGAGAAAACTGCCACAAACTCAACCATGTTCACCCCTGGGGGCTTAGATTCACGGGATTTTCACTTCTCTCATCCTGTATATTTCTCTAATGTTTAAATGTTTAACGATGCGCTTGTAATTCTTTGGTAATTCAAATGACAGATGAAGAAAAAATGTTTTCAAAGACAGTGGGTATCCATCCACCATCCTCTCCAAACTTCCAAAACAACCAGGATGTGCCACTACCAGGAAGTATTTATGCAGCATAAAGGATTTTGTCCTGAGCGTGTACCATTAATTATTAAAGAGAGGCTGTCAGTCCCATCAGATGAGTTTAATATTTACTTTGAGGAGCTAGCGTTCAGTCCTTCACTTTGCACACTGTTGGCTAAGGCATTCGTTTAACAAAGATGAAATGAAGGGGAAATGGTGTGATTTGTATTGTTTTCTTGACATACCTGAAACACTTTTGCTATTTCTGACAGCTCCACTGCTTTCCTCATTTTCCAGCTTAGGAAAATCGATTGCTGTTATGATAAATCCCGATCCAGTGAGAAAGGGAGACAGAGCAAGATGCAAAATGAAAGATAAATGCAGAAAGCTAACAGCCTGGCTGGGGAGAGAAGGCCACGGAAGGGAAGGAATCACATAGATGGCTTCCTGGAAGAGGTTCCCAAGCAGGCCTAGAAGAGGTCGGTTTGGGAACTGGGGAGAGTGCAGAGGAGGGCATCTCTGTTGGAGAAGCAGCAGCCAGCGGGGCAGGAGCTACAGGGAGCCAGGTTGCAAGTGGGCCTGCTTCCTGTATCCCTGAGGCTGGGTTAGGGTCCTCACCCTGGCTGTGGCCCTGGCCTCTGGGGAGGTGCTGGCCAGAACTGGGTGGCAGGCCCAACCTACTCCAACCCTGGACTCTGCCCAGGGATTTCTGCGGAAGTGACAAGGCAGATCAGAGCAAAAGCAGGTTGGACCCAGCTTGTCCCCACAGAGACGTGTGCTTCCCTCTGTCTCTGAGAGCGACCTGTTAACCACGAATACGTGAGTAGAAATAGGGCACTGCCTCTGTGTGCGCCGCTGTGCGTCTGTGGGTGAGCAGGGCATTCCCAGCCCTGCTTGTGTGCGCGCGCACGTGCACGGGCCTCTGAGTATGTCAGCCTAACTGGGCTGGCATTTGGATAGAGTAGGACACTCCCCAAGAGGAGAAAAAGGAGCGGGAACAAGAGTGGGGAGAGAGAAGGCGTTAGTTAGCACTCCTATTTACACATGAGGTTAAACCTATGAGCTGAGCTTCAGCAAAAAAGGAACCATATTAGTTCTTGCAATGGAAAAGTCCAGGGGTAGGACTGGTTTCAGGTAAGAGTTGGATCCAGGGACTGGAATGATGTCTTTAAGGATGTTAAATTTCCAACTTTCAGAGATGGAAAAGTGGAATACAATAAAGGTCTTGCTTAATGGTAATAGTTTGAAGCTGTTGTAGGGAGCGAAGAAAGCTCCTTACAACAGCCTCTCTTAATAAAAGTGCCTGTATCAGGTGTATACGCCTGCTGTATACAATTCCTTACTTTCCTTCCCTACAAAGTGAGCAGAATTAGCCGGGCACGGTGGCTCAAGCCTGTAATCCCAGCACTTTGGGAGGCCGAGGTGGGTGGATCACGAGGTCAAGAGATCGAGACCATCCTGGTCAACATGGTGAAACCCCGTCTCTACTAAAAATACAAAACATTAGCTGGGCATGGTGGTGCGTGCCTGTAATCCCAGCTACTCAGGAGGCTGAGGCAGGAGAATTGCCTGAACCCAGGAGGCGGAGGTTGCGGTGAGCCGAGATCACGCCATTGCACTCCAGCCTGGGTAACAAGAGCGAAACTCCGTCTCAAAAAAAAAAAAAAAAAAAAAAGGTGAGCAGAATTTGCTGTTTTTGCCTGGAACTCCCAGAGTTCACAAGGACTTGCCTCTCACAGGTTCAGATGAGGGTCCAGGCTGGGGTGGTTCTTCATGCCTGTAATCCCAACACTTTGGGAGGCCGAGGTGGAAGGATTGCTTGGGCCCAGGAGTTCGAGACCAGCCTGGGCAACATAGGGAGACCCAGTCTCTACACAAAGGAAAGGGTACCTCCTCCATGTCCTGGGGAGCCAAAGCTGCAGTCCCAGACACAAGGAGGGGTGAGCTCTGGGATGGCATAGGTGGCCCCAGGCAGGGCTCTGCTGTGCCAAGCATCTGCTCCCCCACCCAGCCCTCTCCCCTTCCCCAGGCCCCTGACCTGGGCCCTGCCTGGCCCCCCTTTCCGCATTGAGCCCTCCCTGGTTTGTCTTTTAGTTGGAAGGTCTGGCCCATGGAGAACGACCCCTCAAGACGAAGAGAGTCCATCTCTCTCACACCTGTGGCCCAGGGGCTGGAGAACATGGGAGCTGAGTTCTTGGAAAGCCTGGTCTGTGCCCTCCCCATCGCCCATCCCCACCCTGAGCCTCTTCGGCCTGAGCCCGGCTGCCGAGGTGGTGGGGCTTTCGCTCACCACCTTCCCTCACACCCCATGCCTCTGCCCCCTGCTCACCTCTTTGCTTGCACAGGTAGGAACCTCCCAATGTGCCCGCCTCCTCAGCCCCCTTTATTTCACTCATTAAACATTGACTGAGCACATGCTGTGTGCACTATAGTCTGAAAGGGCAGGGCAGGGCAGGCCCCAATGAGGAAGTGGCATTGGAGGTGTAACCTACAGAGTGAGGATCAAAACCAGATGTCGGGGGAGGGGGTCTCTGAGGAAATTCAGCCTTCGAGGAGCCCGTGGTCTTGTCCTTGCTTTCAGGTGGCCAGGTCAGGTCAAGGCCACCACCCAGAACCTGAGCCTCGTAGGACACCCTCCAGCCTCCTCTGACAAAGCCCCCTCCCCTTCACTGCCCTTGTCCCTTGGGGCGCTCCTTTCATGCTATCATCTGCAAGAATACCCACCCCCCCACACACCTAAAACAGCTCCACGGACTGGGGGGTGCGTCGCCCTGCCTGGGACCTCCCTTACAGGCCTCCTCTCAGGCCCCACCAGCCACAGCTGGGTCGCAGGTGTCTGTCCCTCTGCAGACCGTGAGCTCGCTGAGGGCGGGATGCATCCGGCACAGCCCTGCACGCAGTAGCTGCTCAGGGCCTGCCTCGCAGAGTTCAGTTAAGTAGTCTTCTCACTCCTCCCTGTGCTCCAGCCCAGGCCCCTCCTCAGCCAGGGTCTCACCAAGGGCCCCCAGCCGTAAGTTCCTGCGTGTGGGTAAGGGACAGGCTGGCCTGATGGCTCCCTGCTGGCCGTAGGAGGAAGGCCAGCTCCCTAGAAGCAACTCGGAGATGAGAGGCAGCTGGAGCGAGGCGGGGCCGAAGACCTTCTCTAGATGGTAGGTGACCTCTGGAGGGACAAGGGCGGCCTGGGGGGGAGGCTGCTTGGGAACAGGATGGGGAGCTGGGCCTACTGGAGGATGGGGGGGCACGGGAACCTTTGTCGAAGGAAGGAAAAAAGGAGCTTTAGCCAACATGCACAGACACATGAGCCTAAAGGGTGAGCCAAGTCACAGGACCCCACCTGCTTTTGAGTAGCTGGAATGAAATCCCGTCAGGAACCCCAGTGTATATCGTGGGCGTGCCCTGAACCAGCCAGGCCTCCTCTCAACCTCCGGCTTCTGCCTTCTACCCCCATTCAGTCTCTGAGATACCTCTGGGAGTCCCAAGACTCCGGTTAAAAATTCTGATTTTAGCCAGGCGTGGTGGCTCATGGCTGTAATCCCAGCACTTTGAGAGGCTGAGGCGGGTGGATCACCTGAGGTCAGGAGTTCAAGACTAGCCTGACCAATATGGTGAAACCCTGTCTTTAAAAAAAAAAAAAATCTGATTTTCCACGGGGAGGTGGAAGCCCAGAGAGGAGAAGGGACCAGCCAGGTGGAACAGGCAATGAGGGGCTGAGGTGAGCCTAGAACTCCGCCTGGGCCCCCTGGGTCCTTGCTGGCCAGATCTGGAGCTGAGGACAGCATGAAGGGCAGTGGGGTAGAGGGGGGAGGGATTCCATCTCTGCCTGGGCACAGGGCATGGGAAGAATCCCTCCCCCAGCCTCTCGGGAGGTGGGAGGTGGGGACTGAGAGGGGGTGAGAGGCTCCTTAAAATGGCACCTAGTGGGTTCCAATGAGCACTGAGTGGGCGTCTACTAGATGTTCAGCCTGTGAGACCCCAGAGGCTACTGAGGTCCCAGCCTTTTCTCCAGAGACAGACCGTGACCAAATGACCCGGCAAGAATTGGCTGGGCCCCAAAGGCAGTGAGGGTGTGTGACCACCAGGCAGGGGCAGGCTGTTCCAAGCATCTTCTCTCTGGAAAGGGAGTCACTGACTCATTTGCTAAGTGTCCCGGGTCCTGAGGGGATGAACCCAGAGCTGGGAGCCTTTTCACCTTGTCCCATGGGCAGATGGATGAACAGCAGAGGAGGGGAGGCAGCCAACCGTGTCTGTCTGTCTCGCTCCCTCCTCCTTCCCTCTTCCCTTCCCTCTTCCCTTCCCTCTTCCCTTCCCTTTTCCCTTCCCCTCCCCTCCCCTCCCCTCCCCTCCCCTTCCCTTCCCTTCCCTCTCTTTCTGTTTTTTTTTTTTCGAGGTAGGCTCTCACTCAGTTGCCTGGGCTGGAGTGCAGTGGCCGATCAACCACTTGGCTCACTGCAACCTCCACCTCCTGGGCTCAAGCGATTCTCCTGCCTCAGCTTCTTGAGTAGCTATAGGTGCATACCACCATGCCTGGCTAATTTTTGTATTTTGGGTAGAGATGGGGTTTGTCATGTTGCCCAGGCTGGTCTTGAACTCCTGGGCTCAAGTGATCCACCTGCCTGGGCCTCCCAAAGTGCTGGGATTACAGGCGTGAGCCACCTCGCTTGCCGCCACATTTTTGTATGGTGATGAGGTTCTGCCTTTTCAGAAGACTTCCTCCCGAGCCCGGGAGCGGGGATCATCACTGGGCTAGTGGGGCCTGTGGGTGCTGCTCCAGTTTGTGCTACCATAGAGGCAGGAAAGGCCGAACCATTTCTACGTTTGCCCTGGGCTGGGGTTGCCCTGCAGCCCTGTGGGGATGTCAAAGCAAGCCCTCGCTTGTCCCTGTTGCCGCTTTACTGGGGACACCCCTGAGTGAGTGGAGGGGCTTAAGATCTCCCCCAGGTGGGGTCCGCTCATGCACTCACAGACCCTGCTGGTCCTGTTCCCAGGAGGAAGCTGCAGCCTGCCCTGAGAGCCCGAAGCTTCTGCAGGGAGCACACGCAGCTGTTTCGATGGATTGGTACAGGCCTGCTCTGCACTGGTGAGCCCGGGGCGGGCACTACCCAGGACACAGTGATTCCTGCCTCAGCTACCCAGGTCTCAGGGTGGGGCCATTCACTTACCCAATCACCCAACAAATGGTTGTTGAGCACCAGCTCAGGGCCAGCTCCCTTGCTGGGTGCTGAGACATCAGTTAAGCCAGGCCAGATCTTGTTCCCAAGGCACTCCCTCCTCAGTAAGGGAAGGGGAAGAAATATTCCCACATAATGCAGCAAGTCATCTGGGAGCACCAAGGAGGGATGGGGGATGGTCAGGGAGGACTTCCAGGAGGAGGTGACATTGGAGCCTCACGGGCTGAGTAGGAGTTAGCCAGGTGGAGGGGAAGGACACTAAGGAGGGCAAAGGCACTCTATACAGAGGAGTCACAGGAGCAAAGGTGAAACTGGCAGGGTGTGGGTTTCGATAAAGTCCCATGTCTGCCCTGTAAGGTCTGCAGGGTAAAGTTCTAGACAAGGAGTGCCAGGGGATGGGGCCAGAGGAATAGGAAAGGGCCCAGAATGGGGAGTGGGCAGGGAGATGGGAGGATGCTCACAGACTTGGATTTTACCCTCAAGGCCAGAGAGAGCCACTGAAGGGTTTGAACAGGGAAGCGTCAAGGTGGAATTCACACTGTGGGACCTGGACAGAGGGCAGGGAAGATGGGGAGAAGCAGACACTGAGGGCCCCGGCACCTGTGTGAGAATGAGGTGGTGGAAGGCCGGCGGGTGATGGGAGAGGTCCTAGGAAGGCAATGCCCGCGGCACTTGGGAACCACTGGGGGTGCAGCACGAAGGATACCCTGAATCAGGGCTGCCCCAGGGGCCTGCCGGGGTCAGGGGAGGATGATGGTGCCTTCCGCAGAGCTGGAGAACACACATGCAGGAAGGAGTCTTGGCAGAAAGGGGAATAATTTGGACAGTTTGTTGGAGGTACCACTGCCAGGTCATCTGAGGGGGAGGGAGGCTCCCCAGCACACTTGGAGAGTGAATTGAGAAGTGGGTCAAGGACAGCCGCCTGGAGACTAGCCACATGGAAGGGGCTGGTGGCAGCCAAAGGGGCAAGGGTTTCAAGGAGGGAAGATTAGCAGCATCTCTGCAAGACCTGTGGGACAAAACCCGAGCCATGTCCCCCAATTTAGGGACAAGGAGGCCACTGGTGACTTAGGGTGTAGGTGCCAAAACTGAATTGGAGCGAATGGGAGATGAGGCTGTGCAGATAGCAGGTGTAAAAGGCTTTCTGGATCCATTTTTATGAGGTGAGGCAGGAGGACGAATGGGCAGGGGGTGGCCCAGTCTTGAGGATGCCGGTGACGAGTTTGGGATGGGAGACTTTGTGTACAAGCCGAGGTGGGGAGGTCCCCTGGCACAGAATGGAATAGCTCCCATCCCATGGGGAGAGGTGGGTCTTCGCAGGGCAAGCTCACCTCATCCTGACAGGTTGGAATTGAAGAGGGCCAGGCATGGCGGGTGGTTCATGCCTGCAATCCCAGCACTTTGGGAGGCTGCAGTGGGAGGATTGCTTGAGCCCAGGAGTTTGAGACCAGCCTGGGCAACACAGCAAGACCCCCATCTCTACAAAAAAATTAAATAAAAATAAACGAAAAAAAGAAAAAGGAGGATGGGTACAGATGGAGAGCTCATGAGAGGTGCTCTGGGGGGGACGGGCAGTGAGAGGGGCGACAGCAACGACCCTGGCCTGCTTGGCGAGCTTGAAAGTAGGGCCATCTGCTGAGATGGGGTGGGTCCATGTCCCTCACAGCTTCCTCCTGGAGAGTGTGCCTGAGATGGTGACGTCCACCTTTGGCAGAGTCTGAAGCCAGGCTGTCTCTGTTTCCGTGGCTGCCTCCTTCGCTCAGATTCGATTTGTTTCTCTTGAAGAACAATTGAATTCTCTCCCGTAGAGAATGAAAATTACCCCTCTCATCCTGATTCCACGTTTGCCATGGCTGTGGGGAATGAATGCAGTTTGAACCATGAAATGACCCCTTGCAATGGTCAGCAGTGACTCTGTTTCTGGGTGACTTTGATTTCTCTGGCTTTTCAATATCTTTAGGACATCACCTCTTTCCTGGGGAGGCTGCTCAGAGGTGTCGTGGGAGTAGCTGTGATAGAGAAATGAAGCTCATGTTCTCAGGACTTGGCTCCTGAGCTGTGACAGTGGCTTGCAAACCTTAGGCCTTCTCCAGGGGTCCAGCGACAGCCTGGCTCTATTGGACTAACAAGGATGGCCTTGGTGTCCCTAGTCTTAGAAGAGGAGGGTGCCTCGTGCCGGCTGTTCCAGCCACAGTCCCAGTGAGGTCTTCAGGGACCTTAGCTCAGGTCCTGCCTGTCCCTGAACCAATCCCTGTGCCCAGGGGGACGTGGTGGTCTCCCCACTTCTGACGTAGGTCAAGCACCCCTGAACTACATGGGCTCGGAGGGGGAAAGTTGTGTCCAAATGGAACAGAAAAGTCCTGGCACCAGAGGGCGAGTGGACCCCAGATGATGAAAATGCTTCCGAAAGCACATCTCTCCCTTTGCCCCACTTGGAGGACTCCTCCACACGGCCCCCTCTCCACGAGTCCCCGTCCTGGCCCGCGCTGACCAGGACACAAGGCCCCGAGACACACAGAGCTTATTGGACTCCTAGCGCCAGGCCCTCCCTGTGGGAATCACCCAGTTCTGCTGGCCTCGGAGGCCTCGTTCTCCACGTGGACATCACTGTGGAACCGCCCCTGGGGGTGTTATGAGGATTAACTGTGAAAGTGCTGGCTCAGCTTCTGGCGACCATGGGGTCTCTCCCAGGCCAGGCCAGGTCCCCCTCCCCTGAACGTCCCCCGCCCTGCCGCTGGCACCAGCAGCCCCAGCTCCACTCTGCGGGGCTCCACCCGTGTGTTTCAATGACACCCGCTCAGGTAGGAACTCCAGCCCACAAGCTTCCATGGGATAGAATGGTCATTTTATTTTCTGTAACTCAGCTTACCCTCTCCTTCAGACTTGTCATTCCAGCGAGCGACGGGAACTCAGTTTCCGTCCAGTCGGAATCTCCCTTCTCCCCTTCCTCTGGGGGTCACCAGGGGGGCTTATCCGTCGTCACTCCTCCACTGCCTCCTGACCTGTCTGCTTCCCCAGCTGGTTGTGGGTGCTCTATCCTTGGCCTTGGCGACACCCTCTTCTCCACGGTGGGCTCATTCTGGCCTGCTGCCTCTCTCCTCCTCAGGCCTCTTGTGGGGACCACTTCTGCTGCTTAGGTGCCTGCAGAGCCTCGCTGGCTTTCTAGGACCCTGCCTGCCACGCGCCACATGGGCATTCCCCCCTCTGCAGTCCCGGGACCTCCCTGGGGCTCCACCAGGAAGCCAGGCACAGGCCATCACTGCTTGCAGCACCACAAACACACCCAGTTTTGGCAGCCTTGCCAGGCTCAGGCGCGTTCTCTGTGATGGCAGTGTCCTTGTCACCGTCTGGCAGCAGACGGGGTGGGTAGAACTTACCTTTGCTTGTGATCTTTTAGATCACATTTTAAATCCATGGCTATGAGTCCTTTCCATTCTTCGAGGATGCTGGATTCTGGAATTCAAAAGCCAGGGAGAGGCCTGGCGCAGTGGCTCATGCCTGTAATCCCAACACTTTGTGAGGCCGAGGTGGGTGGATCACTGGAGCCCAGGAGTTCCACACCCGCCTGAGCAACATGGCGAAACTCTCTCTCTACCGAAAATACAAAAACTAGCCGGGCATGGTAGTGGGCACCTGTAGTCCCAGCTACTCGGGAGGCTGAGGCAAGAGAATCCCTTGAACCCAGGAGGCGGAGGTTGCAGTGAGCCAAGATCGTGCCACTGCACTCCAGCCTGGGCGACAGAGTGAGACCCTATCTCAAAAAAAAAAAAAGAAAGAAAAGAAAAAAATCCATGGAGAGACATCCCTCCTCTGCTATTCATTCTCTTTTTTTAAATTTATTTATTTTAAAGATGGGGTTTCACCATATTGGTCAGGCTGGTCTCGAACTCCTGACCTCAGGTGATCCGCCCACCTCAACTTCCCAAAGTGCTGGGATTATAGGCGTGAGCCACTGCGCCCAGCTGCTATTCATTCTCACTGTCTTTCCTGAGGCGTAAGTGTGGACTGGCTGAGTGGCTCAAAGGAGAGAAGGGCAAAAGGGGAAAGGGAATTCCAGGAAGCATGGTCACTGATGAACATTTCAGATCCAGGTCCCGGCACACACGTGTGAACTCCTTCATGGAGTAGCTGATGTGCTCATCTCCTTCCTCCGTAGGACCTAGCGTGGCGCTGGACCACAGCAGGTGCTTCGCTATGCCCAGTGACTCTTGCTGTTTGGCTTCACAGCCTCCTTACACATCTCCCTCCTATTTGGTCAGCACTTTACAGTTTGCAAAGCCCTTTCACATGCCCTCTGCCTGGCAACTCCTAACTAGTTTTTGGCCCAGTAGGGATCGTTGTTCTCATTTCCAGATGAGGAAACTGAGGCTCAGTGAGGTTGGGTGACTCCTGCCCCCCATGCTCTGGGAGGAGTAAGGTGGAGTCGGTGGGCGGGGCTTCAGGGCCCTGGAGAGGCGGTGCCCTCGCCGTTGACCCCTCCCCTGTCTCATCCCCCAGGGTTCGCCGGCTTCCTGCTGGTGGCCTGCCTCCTGGATTTCCAGCGGGCCCTGGCTCTCTTTGTCCTCACCTGTGTGGTCCTCGTCTTCCTGGGCCACCACCTGCTGAAACGGCTTCTGTGGCCAAAGCTGAGGAGGTTTCTCAAGCCTCAGGGTCATCCCCGCCTGCGGCTCTGGTTTAAGAGGTGAGTGAGCCCACAGCCGCGAGGCAGGGCAGGGGAGGGCCTGTGAGCTGAGGGGTCTGAGGGGTTGGCCCCAGGGTTACGGCCAGGGCTGGAGGAGGAGGAAGGCTCCTGTGTCATGGAGAACTCTCTGGGGCTCCAGGGCAGGAGTTGCTGGGTGGCTTCAAACGGAGCAGCGTCTTTGTGGTAGTTCACCAGTTCTTAGTCCCAGTGACAGCAGGTGACTGTGGTGGATTAGAACTGGCCTCAGCAGTTTCTTCCATTCAGGGATCCCAGCCCATGGAGCGGGAAGGGCCCCTATCAGTGCCTCACTCAGATCACCTGGCGGGCTTGAAACAGCCTCAGAAACCAGCCCTGGAGTGGGATTCAGCAGGCGCCATTGGGGTCCAGGTGCTAGGAGTTTTCATTAGCCTCCAGGTGATCCTGATGTAGCCAGTGGTGTCCCTGGACAACAGTTTGAGATCCCCAGGTTTTGAAAGTGGATTCCGTGGAGCTCTGGAAATCTCGGAGATGCCATAGGGCAGGAGAGGGAGGTTGGGGAGGGAAACCTCAGGCTTCCCGCCCAACCCACCATTTCACCAGGCAGCTCTCAATTTGTGTTTTATAAGCCAAAGTTCGCCGACAAGAAAACTGGCTAGGAAAAAAAAGGTTTCTATGGCTTAAAAGTCTGAAGCTCACCAGTCTATTTCAGTACAGTAGTCTGTTGTGTTGATGAAGAAGCTGCTAACCAAAGATACCCAAAGACTAAGTCAGGGGGTCTGACGTTCCCGAAGTGAGACCCACGTACCACAGCAAAATGACAACCAGCCTGTGGATGACACATTTACAATTTTATTTATAAATACATTTACTGTTACCTTTGATCTCTCTTTATTAAGTAGATTTGTGATTTATTTTGACGATGGTCTTCTATCTATGACAAGTCATTGATGATGGTTTTCCACTTGAGGGATTGCTATGAAGTTTCCTTGAAAAAATGCACGCAGATAAATTGGACTTCATAAAAACTAAAAGCTTTTTGGTGCAACTCCCACTATCAGAAAAGTGAAAAGACAACCTATAGAATAAAAGATTTGCAAATCATATGTCTGCATAAAGAAACTCTATGCAGAATTACAACTCAGCAATAAAAAGACAACCCATTTGAAGAATGATAAAAGGTTTTGAATAGACATTTCTACAGCCAAAAAGCACCTGAAAATGTGGTCAACATTATTAGCCATCATGAAAATGCAAAGCCAAGCCACATTAAGATACCTAGGTCTCCATATTCAGTCAGATGGCCATAATCAATAAGACAGATGATAGCAAGTGTTGACAAAGTTGTAGAGAAATTGAAACCCTTAGACACTACTGGTGGAAATGTGAGTTCCTCAAAATGTTAAACATGAACTTATATGACCCAGAAATTCCACTCCTTGGTATATACCTAAGAGAAATGAAAATATGCCGGGCGCGGTGGCTCAAGCCTGTAATCCCAGCACTGTGGGAGGCCGAGGCGGGTGGATCACGAGGTCAAGAGATCAAGACCATCCTGGTCAACACAGTGAAACCCCGTCTCTACTAAAAATACAAAACATTAGCTGGGCATGGTGGTGCGTGCCTGTAATCCCAGCTACTCAGGAGGCTGAGGCAGGAGAATTGCCTGAACCCAGGAGGCGGAGGTTGCGGTGAGCCGAGATCACGCCATTGCACTCCAGCCTGGGTAACAAGAGTGAAACTCCATCTCAAAAAAAAAAAAAAAAAGAAGAAATGAAAATATATGTCCACATAAAAACTTGTGCACAAATCTTCATATAGCATTAATTACAATAGCCAAAAGTGAGAACTACCCATATGTCCATCAACAGAAAAATGGATAAAGAAAATCTATATATCCATACAATGGAATGTTATTTGGCCATGAAAAGGAATGTAGTATTGATGAATACTACAAGAATGACGAACCTGGAGAGCATTATGTTCAGTGAGAGAAGCCAGTCTTAAAGAACCATATTCTGCATGATTCCATTTATATGAAATGTCCAGAATGGGCAAATCTGTGGAGACAGAGAGTTGATTAATGATTGCTAGGGTAGATGGGAAGAGGAGGTGGTGACCACCAGTGGCGTGGGGTTTCTCTTTGGGCTGATGAAAATATCCTGGGATTATGGTAACAGTCGCACAAATCTGTAACTATACTAAAAACAATTAAACCATACATGCCTAAAAATTGCTACATAATATTATTAGGTGGGTGCAAAAGTAATTGTGGTTTTGCCATTATGCAATAAATTTTGCACCAACCTAATAAATGTGCATAGTTTCAGGGTACATGTGATAATTTAATACATTCATATAATTTGTAAAGATTAAATCAGTGTACTTGGGATATCCATCAACAAGTATTTGTCTTTCTTTATGTTAGAATTATTCAAATTCTCCTCTTCTAGCTATTTTGAAATATGCAATAAATTATTGTGTACTGTAGCCACATTACTGACCTAACACACACTGGGTCTTATTTCTTCCCTCAAACTGTATGTTTGTACCCATTAATCAACTTCTCTTCATCCCGTCTCCCTCCTCCTCTTCGGAGTTTCTGGTAACCACCAAACTACTGTCTGTCTTCATAAGATCCACTTTTTAAACCCCCACAGATGAGTGAGAACATGCAATATTTGTCTTTCTGTGCTTGGCTTATTTCACTTAACATAATGACCTCCAATTCCATCCACGTTGCTGCAAATAACAGGATTTCCTTTTTTATGGCTGAGTAATATTCCATTGTACATATACACCACATTTTCTTTATCCATTCATCCGCTGATGGGCATCTAGGTTGATTCCATATTTTGGCTATTGTGAATCATGCTGCAATAAACATGGAGTGCAGATGTCTTTTCAATATATTGATTTCATTTTGTTTTTTGCATATATATATCCAGTAGCAGAATTACTGAATACTTTGGTAGTTCTAATTTTAGTTTTATGAGGAACTTCTATCCTTGAACCATACACTGTAAATGGGAAAATTGGATGGTATGTGAATTTTGACTCAAGCTGTTAGAAAATATATGCATTTGATTTTTGCCTCCAAGTCAAGATGGAGTAACAGAGACCAAGTTTATCCTAAGTGTCGAAACAACTAAAAAACTGGAACAAATATGGGAAACAAGAGCTCTTAGACATTGGACATCAGGCAATAAAGGACGCTAATCCTTGAGAATTAGGAAACAAATGAGGTTAGCCCTGTGATCTCCCCAGCTGACTGCCTGGAGAGCATTTCCAGACCACAGCACAGGGAAGAAAAACTGAGGTGGGACCAGGAGATTCCCCTTGAGGAGATGGAGCTGGAAACCCAGGGAAGCCAAGGCGGGTAGAGTTCACATTGCAGAGTACAGAGACACAGTTGAAAGCTACACAGAGAGAAGCTCCCAGCTACGCAGAGAACCCTCCCCGAACATGCACCTGTGAACTGCTCAGAGAATACAGATGAGGAAACTTCCCTAGGCCTAGGAAAGAACCACCCACAAGGAGAAGAGGGAATTGTGCCTGGAATCACATAGGGCCAGGAATAGTGTCTGTTCCCGACAGTCAGATGAAAAACCTCAGAATTCACAGGGTATTGTTTAGGTTTTGGCTCAGTGGCAGGGGAAAAAAAATCAACTCTAGAATAAATGCTTCTCAAGCCCTGCCTAACACATCTTAAAGAGAAAACCTGAAAAACAGTCAGAGCATCAGTTAACCATGGCACAACTTTAGCGGCTGATATACACAACTGAAGTATCCAGAGGAGAAGGAGGGCAGAAAAAATATTTGAAGAAATTATGTCCAGAAAAATTACAAATAGGATGATGACTGGACACCCAAAGATTCAAGAAACTTCATTAACCTCCAGCACAAGAAACCTAAAGACTACACCAAGGCAATAATCAGATTGCTTAAAATCAGTGATAAAACCTTAGCGACAGCTGGAGAAAAAAGATACGTGCAGAGGAACAAAAACGTGGATTGCTGGTTGATTTCTTCCCAAATTGAGTAAGAAAACAGTGGAACAGTAAACAGCAAAATAACAAATGCCCCAAAGCCTGTCAACCTAGGATTCTTTACCAGTGAAATATATTTCAAAAAAGAAGAGGAAATAAGAACTCTTTCGGTTTTACAAAGGCTGAAATAATTTTTCAGACATAAAAAGCAGACTTACGCTGTAAGAGGTGCTGAAAGAGTGGTGCACACCTGTAGTGCCAGCTACTTGGGAGGCTGAGAAAGGAGGATCGCTTGAGCCTAGGAGGCACAGGCTGTAGTAAGCCGTGATTGCACCACCGACTCCAGCCTGGGTGATAGAGGGAGACGCTATGGCAGAAAAACAAAAGAGAGAGAAAGGGTCTGGGTGTGGTGGCTCGTGCCTATAATCCCAGCAGTTTGGGAGGCTGAGTTGGACAGATCACTTAAGCCCAGAAGTTCAAGACCAGCCTAAGCAACATGGTGAAACCCTGTCTCTAATAAAAATACAAAAAAAAAAAAAAAATTAGCCAGGCATGGTGGCATGTACCTGTAGTATCAGCTATTATACTTGGGTGGCTGAGGCACAAGAATTGCTTGAACCTGGGAGGTGGAGGTTGCAGTGAACTGAAATCATGCCTCTGCACCCCAGTCTGGGAGATATCCAGCCTATATCCAGCCTGTCATAACTCTTTAATAAGAAAAATAACCCAATTTAAAAATGGGCTCAAGGCCAGGTGCAGTGGCTCATGCCTGTGACCCCAGCACTTTGGGAGGCCAAGGTGGGGGGATCACCTGAGGTCAGGAGTTCAAGACCAGCCTGGCCAACATGTTGAAACCCCATCTCTACTAAAAATACAAAAATTAGCCGGATGTGGGGCGTGTACCTGTAGTCCCAGATACTTGGGAGGCTGAGGCAGGAGACTCACTTAAACCTGGGAGGTGGAGGTTGCAGTGAACCGAGATCATGCCACTGCAGTCCAGCCTGGGCAACAGAGTGAGACTCTGTCTCAAAAAAAAAATGCAAATTAGGTTGGGTGCAGTGGCTCATGCCTGTGGTCCCAGCATTTTGGGAGGCTGAGGCAGGTGGATTCCCTGAGCTCAGGGGTTCAAGACCAGCCTGGGCAACACAGTGAAACCCCATCTCTACTAAAATAAAAAAATTAGCCTCGCGTGGCTGCATACACCTGTAGTCCCAGCTGCTCAGGAGGCTGAGGCAGGAGAATCTCTTGAACCCAGGAGGCAGAAGTTACAGTGAGCTGAGATTGCACCGTGAGACCCCATCTCCAAAAAGAAAAAAAAAGGCAAATTAATCTAGTGGCAGAAGACAGATCAGCTGTTGCCTGGGAACAGGTAGGGAGGCAAGGAATTACAAAAGCGGTGACGGGATGTTCACTCTCTTAATTCTGCCGTGATGGTTTCAAGGGGTGTACATATACCAAAACGTATCAAATTGAACACCTTTAATATGTGCAATTGATTATGTGTCAGTCATACCTCTAATAAAGCTGTTAAAAATAAAAAACCTGAAACAAGCATTTAAGGTTTTTTGTTTTGTTTGAGACGGTCTCTTGCCCTGTCGCTCAGGCTGGAGTGCAGTGGCAAGATCTTGGCTCACCACAACCTCTGCCTCCCAGGTTCAAGTGATTCTCCTGCCTCAGCCTGCCAGGTAGCTGGGATTACAAGCACCCGCCACCATGCCCAGCTAATTTTTGAAGTTTTAGCAGAGACAGGGTTTCACATGTTGGCCAGGCTGTCTCGAACTCCTGACCTCAGGTGATCCACCCAATTTAGCCTCCCAAAGTGCTGGGATTACATGCGTTAGCCGCCGCCCCTGGCCACATTTAAGTTTTTATAAAGTCAGTTATAACCTCAAGAAAAATAGTAAGTAAAGAGAAGTACAGTGGGCAGAAAAACAAGGCAAAAATTGTGCACGTTAAACTGGGATGAGAAGAGCTTGGAAACAGGAGCAGAAATAAAAGCCGTGGACTCTGGAGTTAGCCTGCTTGAGTTCGGACCCCTCTTACCAGCTAGGACCGGCCTGGATAAAACCATAATTAAGTGAACAGACCTTGCTTCCAGAGTGCCTGGGTTGAACTCGCAGCTCTGCCACTTTCTAGGGAGCAGGCTCGGGCCAGTTATTTAACCTCTTTGTGCCTCAGTTTCCTCATCTCTATGAAAAGAACAGGTCTCTCAGCATCGGTGTGGTACCTGGCATGTAATAGGTGCTTGATGAACATTAACCATCATTAGTAGTTCTCAGTGAGTGGAAGACCAGATTGGGGTGAGATCTTGAACGCCTGATGCCAAAACCTGTGCTCTCCCACCCTGCAGGCTGCATCCTGGACAAACAAATCCCAGCCCCCGGGGGGAAAGTGTTGCTGTTAAGGTTGGATCCACTCCTTGGTCTCAGGTGCTCAGCTCAGAGGTCTAGACTCACATAATTGCTTCTCGGCATTTGGCAGTCACGGCCGACAGTGTTGAGTCCTGGGCAGCACAGGCCCTTCTTCTCCCAAGGTCAGAGGCTGAGCTGAGCATCACTGCGGTGGTGAGATTCCTGTAGCTGGAGGGAGCCAGGTGCTCGTCCCTATGCTCAGCTTGGTACATGCAACCTCTTATTTGATCCTCTCTGCAACCTTGAGAAATGAGAGGTTCATTTGACTCATGAGGAAACTAGACTCAGAGAGGCTAGGTGATCTGCCTGAGGTCACACAGCAAGGTCGGCCCTTCCCAGCATGTGGATCCAGAGCTGGTGCACTTTCCACTGGGCTGTGCTCTGCTCTTCCTCTCAGCCCCGAGTCCATTTTCTCTGGGGCCCTGGGTGCTGTAGTGTATGGTGAGGCGGGGGTGCAATGCTGAGGGTGATGGCTTTCTGCCTCTTGCCTGCAGGGCCCTAGCACTTGCTGCTTTCCTGGGTGTGGTCCTGTGGCTGTCTCTGGACACCTCCCGGCGGCCGGAGCAACTGGTGTCCTTTGCGGGAATCTGCGCGTTCATCGTCCTCCTCTTTGCCTGCTCAAAGCATCATTGCGCGGTGAGTGCTAGCTGTGGGGCCCAGGACTGGAAGTGTCTGTCTCTCTCTTCCGCCCCGAGGCTGGAGCTGGGAGCTGGGGTACGGGCAGTTGCTCCTGTCAGCAGATTCCTGGAGGCTCAGAGCCTGGAGAAGACCTGTGTGCGTCAGGACAGGCTTCCTGTGAAACAGAAGTCCTCACGCTCCCCAGCAGGGATGTGTCTCTTGACTCAGAGGCCAGCGGGGCATTTGTTTCCTTGGCGACATGTCCTCTGGTCAGTCTAATCCTGGTCTTCAGGTCTGTTGTCTCAGGAACCACCTCCACCCCCAACCACAGACAACACAGGCCACAGCTCCAGTCCGTCTGCAGAGGCAAGGGTTTCCTGGAATCATTAGCTTAAAATAGTGCTTCTCACAATCTGCGCACTAGACCAGCAGCAGCAGCACCTCCATGGAACTTATTAAAAATGCAACTTCTTAAGCCCCACCCTAGGCCCACTGCATTAGAAGCTCAGGGGCAAGGGTGGCGATCATCTTGTCAGCAAGCAGAATTCTGATGTGTACTCAATTCTGATGTGTACTTAATTGTGGTGTGTACTCAATTCTGATGTATACTAAGGCAGCCATGCGGAAGGAACCTTCTCTCTCTCTGCCTCTGTGGCATCAGGATCCCTCTGTTTCATGGCGTGGCCACCCCTTTCCCCAGGCTACAGCCAAGCCTCCCAGGAGCGTCTGATGCGCGCCTGAGCTTGGACTCACTGCTAAGGAATTATTAAATGCTGACCCGGGAAAAGCAACCTGAGGAGCCCAGCTCTCGTCTGCTGGGAGGGGTGGGGGCAAGGGGTGTGGGCGCAGAGCCCAGCTTATGGAGGAGAGAGTGGAGAGGGTCAGGCAGACTGCGTTCACGCTAGCTGGAGGGGAGCTGGGCCCGGAGCAGTCTGGTGCGGATCCTGAGGCCAGAACCCCAGACCACAGCTCTGGCAGTGAGGACCCGGAGACGAAGTGCCATGACGTGCCCAAGGCTGGTGAGGTTTCACCTAAGTTCTTGGTTAGAATCTTGGCCCATCCCTGCCCACTGCCCAGGCTCGCTCCTGCCTAGCACATGGCCTGTTCTGAATCCCAGTGAGGGTGTAACCACTGGCACCAGGCCCCGTGCTCTGTCTGGCTCCAGCCCCATCCTCCGAGCAGGCCAGTGCTCCTGCGCTCCCTCGGCAGCTGGTGCCCTCCGCCCTCACCCCTGCCCTGCTCCCTGCCCATCCCTGAAGGAGCTGAGCTCACCAGCACCTTTCTGTGGGGTGGGGTGGCAGGTGTCCTGGCGGGCCGTGTCTTGGGGACTTGGACTGCAGTTTGTACTCGGACTCCTCGTCATCAGAACAGAACCAGGATTCATTGCATTCCAGTGGCTGGGCGAGCAGATCCGGGTAGGTACATGGGGCCTGGCTGCCCGGAGCATCTTAAGTTACTGGGAGCTTGGGACTGGTGCGGCGGAGGAGGGGGTGTGGGTGGACCGGGGCCCCAGACCAGGTGGGCAGCGGGTGGCTGGGCAGCACAGCTGCCACTTCCCTTATGCCTGGCATCAAGACCCCAGTGGAGTATCCTTTCAGAGGCTGGGTCTGTAGTCAGCAGTGACTTGGAAATTGTAATAATTAAAAGTGCTAAAAAAAAATCCCCCAAAATCTGCAAATGATTTACTTGTGTATATGTATGTTTAAAAATAATGTTTATTGAAGTTATACATTTTTATTCTGTTTTTGTTTTGTTTTGTGACAGAGTCTCTCTCTGTCACCCAGGCTGGAGTGCAGTGGTACAGTCTCAGCTCACTGCAACCTCCGCCTCCTGGGGTTAAGCAATTCTCTGCCTCAGCCTCCCCAGTAGCTGGGATTTCAGGCACCCACCACCATGCCTGGCTAATGTTTGTATTTTTAGTAGAGACGGGGTTTCACCATGTTGGCCAGGCTGGTCTTGAACTCCTGACCTCTGTCGATTCACCTGCCTCAGCCTCCCAAAGTGCTGGGATTACAGGTGTGAGCAACTGCGCCCAGCCCCATTTTGTTTTGTTTTGTTTGAGACAGTCTTGCTCTGACATCCAGGCTGGAGTGCAGTGGTGTGAACTTCAGCCTCGACAACCTGGGCTCAAGTGATCCTCCCACCTCAGCCTCCCCAGTATTGAGTAGCTGGGGCTACAGGTGTGAGCCACCATGCCAAGCTAATTAAAACAATTTTTTGAGGGGATACAGAGTCTTCCTATGTTTCCCAGGCTGGCCTCGAACTCCTGGGCTCAAGTGATCTTCTCACCTTTAGTCACGGGGTGCCCAGCCGATTCTGTTTTTTATTATAGTAAAATCTATCTAACATAAAATCGACCATTTTAACCATTTTTAAGTGTCATCAAATTCATGCACACTGTTGTGTCACTATCATGATTTACTTTTGTCAAAAGAAAATTACAACAAATTTGGTTAAAAGATCCGAACTGGCTTTTATTTGTGATTTTAGAACCAGGCAACACTGCATTCTGTAAAAATAGAGTGAGTGTTCTGATCATGTCCCCATTTTATAGATGGGAACACTGAAGCTGAACAGAAGAAGTGACTTGCTGGCCCTGCAGTCACAACCCAAGTTCAGGATGTAACACAGGGCTCCTGTAGAAGCATGGCTGGGCTCAGACTCCAAGGCCACAAGCTGGGGTGGGGACAAGATGAGGGGACGTTTTGCCATTGGTTGTCAGGGGCCTGAGCAGGCACAAAGGCACCGCCGCCTTCACACGTCTCCTGGTCTTGCGTCTTCCATTGTCTCTTCTTCATTGTCCTAACGACTCTCAGAGCATTTCTTATTTTATTTTATTTTTTTGAGACGGAGTCTTGCTCTGTTGCCCAGGCTGTAGTACAGTGGTGCGATCTTGGCACCTCTGCCTCCTGGGTTCAAGTGATTCTTCTGCCTCAGCCTCCCTAGTAGCTGAGATTACAGGTACCCACCACCATGCGTGGCTAATTTTTGTATTTTTAGCAGAGACAGGGTTTCACCATGTTGGCCAGGCTGGTCTCCGAACTCCTGACCTCAGGTGATCCGCCCGCCTCAGCCTCCCAAAGTGCTGAGATTACAGGTGTGAGCCACCGCACCCAGCCTACAGAGCATTGCTTTAAAATCAACTGAAATGGTGTCTCTTTGGTGAATGCACTTAGGAGCTAGTGCTTGTGATGGTAGCTCTAACGCCCCTTGCCAGGTGGTGCCCACCCGATAAAGGCCTAGGGGACTGTCCCTGGGCCAACCCGCCTGTCTCTGGCTGCGCTTCCTCCCTCCTCCCTTCCCAGCCTCACTGCCTGTTTTTGTTTTTTTCTTTCAGATCTTCCTCAGCTATACGGAGGCCGGCTCCAGCTTCGTGTTTGGGGAGGCGCTGGTCAAGGATGTGTTTGCCTTTCAGGTCAGCTTGATCAGGGTCCCGGAGGCCTTTAGCAGCCGCTGCCCAGCGCCTCCAGCTAGAGGGGAGTCTTGGCACGGCGGGTGCCCAGGTGGAGGGGAGGGGCTCTGTGAGCAGATGTGGCTATACTGGGAAGCTAGCGAAGCCTAAGCCTGGACCCTGGGAGGGGCCCAGCAATGTGCGCCTCATGAGATGTTTTTTGCTATATTTTGTAAAATTTGCAAAAGTAAGATATTTCCGTGTGCTTTTCCTTAGAGATGAACCTCCAGGTTATAGAATTACTGAGTGGCTGAGGATGAGAAGTGGGGGGAGGGGTCGTGGGGATAGCTCCTGCTGAGACTTGAGCCCCTGAAGTCTGCAGACTCTGGGCCTAGGACCAGTGGTTTCTGGGAAGAAAACCGCTCCCGTGATCCTCTCAGGCACTCCTCCTTCAGGGCTCCTCACAGGCCGCCTCTGCCAGGAAGGCCGCCCTTATTAGCCTTATTAGTCCAGCGGTGACAGCTCCCTCCTCTGTGTCGTCCTAGACGTAGGATACCGCTTTCCCGCCCTCCCTCCCTGCCTCCATCCATCCTTCCTTTCTTCCATTAAAAATTGATTGTGCATTTACGGCACTGCAAAATATCACAGGGCAAATGAAGATAGACACTGTTCTCTCTCAGAGACCTTATTGTCTAATGGTGGAGCCCCAGCCCTAATTTAAACACATCCACAGCCCAGGATGCTGTGGGGGGACCCGCTTCACTGTTCTTGGTGGGGCTGTGGTTGTGTTTCTTTTTTCCACAGTTAACTGTTTAAGCACCGAAATGTCTTGTTCAGTAAGAACTCTAGCGGAGCCCTCCTTTGCCTGCCTTACACTCAAATTGTCTAAGACCCTGAGGCTTGCTCTAGGCTTAAGCTCCACATGCTAGGTGAAAGAGACAGAGAGAGACGTGGGGCTCCACTCACCCAGTAGCTGGCCCCCGTTTTTTGCCACCGATGCATGGCACGGAGAGGGACATCAGGGCAGCCCACTCTGGTACATCTGGGACCACCATCACCACGGAGCTGCTATGCAAGACCCTGTGTGCAGGTTCCAGAGGTTTCTGCTATTTTCATTATCCTGGGGGTGTTGGACCCAGAAGACTTTTGGCCTAAGCCATGGACTTGGCTATGGACTTCTGGGCTGGCGTTGAGCCAGGTCATGAGTTCAGACACTCCTGCCTACCCCTGACCCTGACCTCTGGCGAGTTCCTCTTGGAGCCTTAGTGTCTGTTGTGCCAGCAGACTCCCTGGGGAAAGTCCCGTCTAACATTGTCAGCCCTAAGAGGAAAGTGGCGGGGGGGGCAGATTCCTGTCTTCTCTGAAGTCTTCTTGCCCCCTGGGTGAATTTGCCCATCATGTTTTCTGAGACCACTTCTGCATAGGGAGAATATTGGGAGGGGCAGCCTCTGTCAGGTCTGAAAAGGCCCCTAATGCCATGTTCCTTTAAGTGATCCACCCACCTTGGCCTCCCAAATTGCTGGGATTACAGGTGTGAGCCTGTAAGCATAATTAATGCGGGGGTACCCAAGGTTTCAGAAAAGAGCAGTAAGATCTGCTTCAGGGTCAATTCCATGTCCACCCAAGCAGGGAGGCTCCCACAGCTTCTCACACTTTAAAACACACACACCCGGCCAGGTGCGGTGGCTCACACCTGTAATCCCAGCAATTTGGGAGGCCAAGGTGGGTGGATCACTTGAGGTCAGGAATTCGAGACCAGCCTGACCAACATGGAGAAACACCGTCTCTACTAAGTACAAAATTAGCTGGGCGTGGTGGAGCATGCCTGTAATCCCAGCTGCTAAGGAGGCAGAGGCAGGAGAATCACTTGAACCCGGGAGATGGAGGTTGCGGTGAGCAGAGATCGAACCATTGCACTCCAGCCAGGGCAACAAGAGTGAAACTCCATCTTAAAAAAAAAAATACACACACACATACACCCGACACTCTGCAGTTCAACCTCCGCAGGCAGCTGGGTTCAAGTGTAATAATGGAGAAGCCTGAGGAGTACCTATAGGAGAGATGGTTCTAATAAGGGACCGTGAGGAAGACTCCTTGAGGAGGTGGCATTTGACATAGAGTTTAGGACAGAAGAGATTTGGACACACGGAGCTAGGCAGGAAAAGGAAATGGGATGGGCAAAGCATGGAGGTGAGAACATGCTGGTGTGTCCCCGGTGCAGGGCGCAGTTCAGTGGATGGGCGTACAAGCTGCTTCCCAAAGGGAAATGACAGCCTCGTTAGCCAAAGAAGCAGGGAAGAGGTGCTGAGCAGCCCACGCCGCTGCTCTCCGCTGGAGCCCCCAGCCAGCGTCTCTCCTGCGTCATTGCTGGGCTGGCCTCTGTGTCTGGCCCCTGGCCACATTCGCTGTGTCTCCTCACATCCTGCCTCCCTTTCTGGAAGGATGTGTGCACACCTGCTGCTTGCATTTCTCCCCGAATCACCCTTTAGAATCATGGATTCCTGGACCGTGCGCACCAGGAGAAAGCTCAGTGGTATTTGGGCCTCCCTTTTGTATTATAGGTGGTCCAACCAAGCCCCAGAGAGGAGCAGTGAGCTGGCCGCCGTGGCACAGTGAGTTAGGGCAGAGCCGGAACTGGACCCCTCCAGTGGAATTCCGGTTGAGGGATGTATTCTTCCTCACACTATCAGCGGAAATCAGTGGCCTCGTGTGTCTCCTCCAAACACAAAAAGCACTCTGAATAACAAAAATGATCATTTAAAAATGTGGCAATTAGGCCAGGCATGGTAGCTCCTGCCCGTAGTCCCAGTATTTTGGGAGCCTGAGGTGGTCGGAGGTTTCACCATACTGGCCAGGCTGGTCTCAAACCCCAGGAGTTTGAAACCCGATCTCTACTAAAAATAGAAAAATTAGCCAGGCGTGGTGGCGGACACTTGTAATTCCAGCTACCTAGGAGGCTGAGGTAGGAGAATGACTTGAACCAGGGAGGCAGAAGTTGCAGTGAGCTGAGATGGCACCACTGCACTCCGGCCCAACACAGTAAGACTCCATCCCCAAAAAAGAAAATAACAGTAAAATAAATGTATCAGTGGTGGCAAAAAACTTTGAAGTTGAATGTTCAGTTAAGACAGAAGCAATAGTGGGGTGGGCCTATCATTGACCAGCATTTCCCAGACAAACACTATAGTTTCCTGGCCCCTGGGAGGCCCTATCCTCTGGACAAATTCCTGGACAGTGTATCGGCTGATGCCCCATCCTTAGCAATGCCGGAAAAGATGCGTGGCAAATGTTGAGAAATAATTCTCTTTCTCACTAACCACAACATTGTATTCAGCCTCCCCCCTCCCCCGTATCACACCCATAGGCTTGGGATTTGCCCTCAAGGTAGGGCTGACCTGAACAGAAGACTCAGGAAGTTCTCTATTCTTTCTGTGAATCACGCAGACCTAGTCCAAGGCCTTTGGCCAATTTCAGCTTGGGGAAGTCTTCTCTGAGCTCACTCAGATTTTCAGAATCCAAGCTGCTTCCTGCTGGCCATGGTCCAGCTGCTCTCTTCCTGGGGGGAAATAAAGCCTCTCCCCGGGGCTCCTTCAGCCCTCAGCCTGCCCTGGGCCTGGAGTCCGGCACAGTGGCCGCGGCAGTCACCCCTTGGCTGTATCAGCTGGATTAGTCATCCCACCTTGGCTCCATCTCCCTCCTGGTAACTTTCCACCCGCATGAGCACAGCCCCCGGGTCTGGCTGACCCGGGAGCACGCTGTCATTCTTTTCACTATTGTTCTAGCCTCTGGAACCAGCACCCACTACTCAGCTCCACAGTGCTGCTCACATTTTCTCTGGAGGCACCCCTAGGGTCAAGGAAAATGTCTTCATCTCCTGAGAGTTTCGGGGTGTCTGACACAGACTATGCAATCCCCAGTGATCAAGAGTGCCAAATTTTGCACACACACACACATGCACACACGCACGCACACACAAATACACACAAAGATCAAATAAGGACCAAAGGTATCATTGGGTTTGGTAATGAAGGGGTAACCGGTAACTTTACTGAGCATGGATTTCGGTGAAGGGAATGGGAATCCGTGAAGCCGGGGGTGGGATGGCTGAAAGAAGGGAGATGGGACCGCTGAGGTAGGAGGCATCTTGTTGAAAACCTGGGGTCCAGGCAGAGATGGGCATGAGGGGCAGAGTGCTCAGGCCATTCTGGGTGAAGGATGGCACAAACAGGAAGTCAGGAGGCGTAGCTAGGGGACAGCCAGAAAGGCAGCTGCTCTGGACTTGGAGGCGAGTCCCTTCTGCATTCTGGTGGCTGGCAGTGTATGCTGCCGCTGCTGCCCCAGCATCTTCCGTCTTCGGGTTTTTTGTGGTTCACCGTGGCCTGGGGCTGGTGATGGGGCACGGTCTACAGTGCTCGGGCCTTGGGGTCTGTGGATATGAGGGTTTGCCCAGACAGCCTTAGGAAGTCAGCAGGAGCCCTTGCTCAGCCTCCTCCAGGGAGAGGAGGGAGCAGGCCATGTCCTTAGTGGGTTTTGTCCGGCCTTCAAAGCATGTTTCCTGGCCAGGTGATGAAGTCTGCTTAGAGCCTCTAATCTAGGATCTAGGGCCGTGTTTGTCAGAGTGTGGTGTCCAGGTCAGCTGCACCAGCAGCATCTGGAAAGGCCAAACATCAGGCCCCACCCTAGACCTATTCAATCCAAAATATTCTGAGCACATTCTCAGAGGATGCTTCTGGTCCATGTGCTAACAACCACTGGCCTGGAAGAGCTAGATTCCCTTCTTCCTTGAGTTATAGTACGAGCAGGACCCACCTCCAAAGCCATTTCTACAAGGCAGTGGTCAGGACTTACTTGGGTCTTCCTTGAAGGGGGTTGCCTTAGTCCATCCAGGAGGCCATAATGAAAACCATAGACTGGGTGGCTTACAAGCAACAGAAATTTATTTCCCACACTTCTAGAGGCTAGCAGTCTGAGATCAGGGTGCCTCAGTTCTGTTGAGGCCCACTTTGCCCTCTACCCACTTGGTTGTCTGTGTCCTCACATGGTAAGAGAGGTGAGGGAGCTCTCTGGAGCCTCTTTTATTTTTTATTTTTATTTTTTTGAGGTAGGATCTCACTCTGTTGCCCAGGCTGGAGTGCAGCGGTGTGATCACTGCTTATTGCAGCCTCCATCTCCTGGGCTCAAGTGATCCTCCTGCCTCAGCCTCCAGAATAGCTGGGATTACAGGTGCATGCCACTATGCCCAGCTAATTTTTTTGATTTTTAGTAGAGACAGGGTCTCACTATGTTGCCCAGGCTGGTCTTGAACTGAGTTCAAGGGATCCTCCAGCCTCAGCCTCCCGAAGCGCTGGGATTCTAGGCGTGAGCCACTGTGCCTGGCATGGGACCTCTTTTATAAGGGCACTAATCCCCTTCATGAGGGCTCCACCCTCATAACCTAATCACTCCAAAGGCCCCACCTCCTAATACCATCACCTAGGGAATTAGGTTTCAATATATGAATTTGGGGGGACACAGATATTCAGTTTCCAGCAGGGATACATGCTGCCCCTGAAGGCAGAGAAACCTCCAGGACTGTTCCCAGGGCAAACCTCCTGAGGGGCATGCAGGACCTTGGCATTGTACCTGGTGGCTGGGAGTTACATCTGCCTCTTTGCTGGTGTGTGACCTCAGGCGGGTGGCCAAGATCTCACAGCCTCCGTGTGCCCATTTGTGAAGTGGGGACAGTTACATCCACCACAGCTGCTGTGAGGATTGATGAGTCCCCACACGTTAGGGACCTGGTCCAGAGCAGGCCCTCGTGGTTGGCGCACAGTGGGATTTAACGGCACTTGCCTCCCCCTTCCATAGCAGCACTGCCTTGAGCTGCCCGCCCTGTTCTGCCATCTCACATTCTGCCAGGGAGCGCCCCACAGCTGTTTCCTGGGCTGAGATGGTATTGGCTGCAGGGACCTTATTTAGTATTCTATCCTACCTTAGAAAATTGGGGCCACTGTTTTCTCTTTCATTCCCCTCCGCTCCCTAGACAGTCCCCACTTAATCCAAAACACAGCTTCTCTTCCACCATCAATCTCCATCTCACAGATAGAAAATCTCTTTTGATTGCTGGCAGGAGAAAGTCCCAGTGCTGCAGTGGGGTCCCGATGTCCCAGACACTCTCCTTCCTGGCACGGGCCATCCCTACAGGCCTGCCAGTCTCTCTCAGGACCCACTGGACAAGCAGTCTAGACAGTGCGTGACCCTCTCTGCATCTCAGTCCCAGGAGTGGTGGAATGATGTCATCACACCCGTGCTGGACGTGTTTCTAGCCCTAGGCGGGAGGAGTCGTCACGGGCCGGGAGAAGGGTTTCTTTGAGCTGGTTCTGGTGTTCTCTGTCAGGTGACTTCCCCACCTCAGTGAAGTTGGTGACAGATGACAGCAGAGCAAGTCCAGATACCACCTGCAGCATTGGTCTGGGAAGGGACAGGAGAAAGAAAAGGCCAGCAGACCTTGCTTCCCAGCTGCCCGGGGCAGAATCTCCATTCTCTTCAGGGGCCATTCTGTAATCCCAGTTCACTTTGAACTAGAGCCTAAATTTGGTTGCTCAAGACACTCCCTCCTTAAAAAACAAAAGCAGCCCTTGCCGGGCCCTCAGCAGGGTCCAGCGGTGAGCACAGCGCTGCGTCTTGCAAGGACTGTCCATGCTGACGATCTCTCCTTCCTCGTGTCCCCCTTCCACCTTGGCTCACTGACATCAGCCTCGGTCCCCACCCTTCCTCTCACACTGCTGTCACCTAGATCACGGGCGCCTCCAGGCTGCTAAGTCCCAGGGGTCTGGCTCAGTCCTTACCTTTCCAGAGTTCTCTGACGCACCTGACACAGCTGCCAGTGACTTTCCCTTCTTGAAAAGCTGCCCCTCGGTTTCCGTCCCGCCTGTCTCCTGGCTATTTCCAGCCCTTGGCTATTTCTATTTTTTTTTTTTTTTTTTTTTTTTTTAGGTGGAGTTTTGCTCTTGTTGCCCAGGCTGGAGTGCAATGGTGCAATCTCGGCTCACTGCAGCCTCTGCCTCCCAGGTTCAAGCAATTCTCCTGTCTCAGCCTCCTGAGTAGCTGGGATTACAGGTGCCCACCACTACACCTGGCTAATTTTTGGTATTTTTAGTAGAGATGGGGTTTTGCCATGTTGGCCACGCTGGTCTTGAACTCCTGACCTCAGGTGATCAGCCTGCCTTGGCCATTGGCTATTTCTTTGTCTCCTTCGCAGGCACCTCCTTCCGCTCTCACCCTTCAGTGACATTGAGCACAGGGCCCTCCTTAGCCCCTGCTCTTTTCACTCAGGGTGATTTCCACAGTGAATTGCACCCACCAGCCACCTCAGCCTGTACCACTACGGCGTCTTCTTCTTATTCTTTTTTTTTTTTTTAACAGGGTCTCACTCTGTCACCCCAGGCTGCAGTGCAGTGTCATGATGTTGGCTCACTGCAACCTCCCCCTCCTGGGTTCAAGTGATTCTCATGCCTCAGCCTCCCGAGTAGCCAGGATTACTGGTACCTACAACCACACCCAACTTTTTTATTTTTATTTTTGTTTTTATTTTTAGTAGAGATGGGGTTTCACCATGTTAGCCAGGCTGGTCTTGAACTCCTGACCTCAAATGATTTGCCTACCTCAGCCTCTCAAAGTGCTGGGATTACAGGTGCGAGCCACCATATGGAGTCTCACTCCGTTGTCTGGGCTGTAGTGCAGTGCCATAATCATGACTCACTGCAGCCTCCAATTCCTGGAATCCAGTGATCCTACTGATTCAGCCTCCAGAGCAGCTGGAACCACATTCGTGCGCCACCATGCCCAGCTATTAAAAAAAAAAATTGTGTAGAGATGGTGGCCTTGCTTTGTTTCCCAGGCTGGTCTCAAACTCCTGAACTCAAGCAATCCTCCCGCCTCAGCCTCCTACAGTGCTGGAATTACGGGCGTGAGCCACCACACTGGGCCAACCTGTACTTCTTATGAAAGAGTCCCAAGCCAAGGCCTGGCCCAGATCTCCCCTCTCAGCTCCCCACCCTTTTATCCAGCTGCCCACTTGATGTTCCACAGGTATCTCAAATTCAAAGTTCAAAACCAAACTGATTTTCCCACAGACCACTCCTGCCTATACTCTCTCCCTTGAGAAATGTCCACTTATTATTGAAAATTATAGGAACAGCTGGGCACGGTGGCTCATACCTGTAATATCAGCACTTTGGGAGAATGAGGCAGGCAGATTACTTTAGGTCAGGAGTTCAAGACCAGCCTGGCCAACATGGTGAAACCTTGTCTGTAATAAAAATACAAAAATTAGCCGGGCGTGGCAGCTGGCACTTGTAAGCCCAGCTACTTGGGAGGCTGAGGCAGGAGAATCACTTGAATCTGGGAGCAGAGGCTTCAGTGAACTGAGATCAAGCCACTGCACTCCAGCCTGGCTGACAGAGTGAGACTCCATCTCAAAAAAAAAAAAAAAAAAAAAAAAATTATGGGAACAGATAAGAAATTCATGAATAAAGAAAAAAGAAAATCTCCATAGCCCCAGCACATAGAAACAAGCCCTTTGACTATTTGGTAGTGCTTCTTTCTATAATTTGAATATTCCAATTTTCCCACCTAACATTGTAGCTTAAGAATGCTCCCATGCTATTACCAGTTCTGCATGACGACTGTAAACTGTTGGGAACACATGACACAGAATAGAGCAAACATGCCAACCTAAAAGGGTATAAGGTAAAAAATAACCTTCCTCTCATCCCTGGCCCCCAAGGCACCCAGTTCCCTCCACAAGGCACCTGCTGTTGCTGGCCTCCTGCACATTCTTCTAATGATCCCCACGCTCATACAAGATCACACACAGTGCCCCTCACACACATGTTTTTGGAGAGGTAGGGGATCTTACTATGTTCCCCAGCCTGGCCTTGAACTCCTGGGCTCAAGCAATCCACTTGCCTCAGCCTCCTGGGGAGCTGGGACTGTAGGCACATGCCACAGTGCAGAGCTACGTCCCACCCCCTTTTGAAACCTGCATAACAGCATAGCATACACTCTTGTGGTTCACCTTCCCTTTGTGCATTTAACAATGTATCTCGGAATCTGTCTGCAACTCCCCATAGAGACCTTCCGCATTCTTGTTTCCTGATCCTTAGTGCTCTGGTGTCTGTCTGGATCATAGGTGATGAAATTAGTCCCCCACTAATAGACCTCTCTGTTTTTGCCAGTTCGTTGTTATAAATCAGACTGCAGTAAAGAAAGACCAGGGTGCAGAAAAGCAACCTCCTTTTCCATGGGCCTAGAAAGGAGGGAGGTGTGAGAGAAATTCTGAAGGGAGAACGCCTAAGCCCTGGAGTGAAGGAGGAGGGGCGTTTAGCCAGGTATTAATCATAGGAAACGGGGTGATGGGAGGAGATGCTGGTTCGGGTCCGTGATGAGCGGAAGTGGAACACCAGAATGATGAGGGTTCCCTCATTCACGCCCAAAACGCGGGAGAGAGGTTAAGGCCAGTCTGAGGCCAAGCATTGAGCCCATGGAGAAGGATGCACACTGTCACCCTCACAACGCCCCTCAGATGTGGGCATTTTACCCCCATTTTAGAGACAAAGAAGCAGGAGATGAAAGTGGTGCACTCAGGCCCCACCGCACCACAGCACGGGCCTGCCTGTGTGAGGAGAAAGAGCGCGGTCTGGTGGCTGTCACTGTTTACAGGGGATCTGAGAGGACGAGGCTGCCTCCAAAGAGGGCCTGCAAATGGAATAGCTGGGGCTTCATGCTCTGGTCCCAGAGCATCTTCCCGGATCCTGGCAGGCCTCTGAGAGGCAAGGCCTGCGAGGGAGTGGGCCACCTGGGGTCTCCTGGGCCCTGCCTGGCACCCTGGCTCCTGCCTGCCTCTAACCTGGAGTCCTGTGCTCTCCCTCCTGGCAGGTTCTGCCCATCATCATCTTCTTCAGCTGTGTCATATCAGTTCTCTACCACGTGGGCCTCATGCAGTGGGTGATCCTGAAGGTGAGTTCTCAGTGCCCATGACCTGCACTCTCCCAAAGTCACCAGCGCGCAGCTCCCAGAATGCCTTGCTCCCAGAGCCCAAACCTCCCCAGATACACTGCTCCCCAAGCCCACACCCTTCCAGAATCCCCTACTCCCAGTGCCTACACCTTTCCAGAACTCCCACTTCCCAAGTTCCACACCTTTCTGGAATCCCTTGCTCCTGAGGCCCACACCTACCCAGAACCCCCTGCTTTTAGAGTTCACACCTTCCTAGGATCCTGTGCTCCTGAGGTCCACAGCTTCCCAGAATCCCCCACTCTTAGAGTTCACAGCTTCCTAGAATCCTTTGCTTCTGAGGTGTACACCTTCCCAGAATCCCCTGCTCTTAGAGTTCACACCTTCCTAGAATCCTTTGCTCCTGAGGTCCACAGCTTCCCAGAATCCCCTGCTCTTAGAGTTCACACCTTCCTAGAAGCCTTTGCTTCTGAGGTCCACACCTTCCCAGAATCCCCTGCTCTTAGAGTTCACACCTTCCTAGGATCCTGTGCACCTGAGGTCCACAGCTTCCCAGAATCCCTCACTCTTAGAGTTCACAGCTTCCTAGAATCCTTTGCTTCTGAGGTGTACACCTTCCCAGAATCCCCTGCTCTTAAAGTTCACACCTTCCTAGAATCCTTTGCTCCTGAGGTCCACAGCTTCCCTGAACCCCCTGCTTCCAGGATCCTCACCCTTGCAGAATTTAGTACTGACTAAATATCCTTTCCCAGGGTCTCCTGTCATGATACTAAGGAGAAGTAGCACCAAAGCCTAATGTGGTCTTTGCTAGAGGAAAGGTTGCAGTTTTGAGGCTGCATTGAGAAGGTGTAGAGGGGAAAAGTAATTTATAGCAAAAAGATATTGAGAGACTGTTGCAGTGGGCCATATTGGCCAGACTTCGCTAGTATAAATGTCAAATCCTGTGCTTATGTTCATAACATCTGCTACACAAAACCAGGATGTAGGAGACAGCATTGGACAGCATTGGGCCTGGCAAAAGATTCTGAGGTTTTAACTGATTGAGCTCAGAATAAATCAGCCATATCAGATGGCTGCCAGAAATGCAAAAACAACCTGTGATTATTGTCCTCGTTCATTTTCTGTTGCTGTAACAGAATATCAAAGACTGGGTAATTTATAAAGAAAAGAGATTTATTTGGCTCATGGTTCTGGAGGCTGGGAAGGCCAAGAGCATGGCACTGACATCTGGTAAGGGCCTTCTTGCTGGGAAGGCCAAGAGCATGGCACTGACATCTGGTAAGGGCCTTCTTGCTGTGTCATAGCATGGTGGAAGGGCAGAAGACAGAGTGAGCACATGAGACACAGAGAGATCAGGGCCGAACTTATCCTTTTTATCAGGAGTTCACTCCCATGATAGCCAAACCTCTGCAATAACAGCATTAACCCATTCATGAGGGCAGAGCCTTCAAGACCTAATCACCTCCTAAAGGTCATGCTTCTCGACATTGTTACAATGGCAATCAAATAGCTTTTTTTTTTTTTTTTACTTTGGCAATCAAATTTCAACATGAGTTTTGGTGGGGATATTCAAACCGTAGCAGTTACGTTAAGAGCACAGACTGCGTAGCATAAAGGAGGTGATTACTCCCAGATCTGGAGAATGTGTTCAACCAAGAGGCTATGACAAACCGAACTATGAGCAGGAGAGTGAAAGGGCCTGAAGCCATACCCTCTACAGAATGACTGCAGGAGTAAGGAATGAGGAGCCTGGAGAAGAGGAAGTGAGGGGTAGGACAGCTGTATACAAATACTTACAGAAGAGAGTTTAGGGAAAGGGCAGCCTGAGAGGCACCAGCAGTGGAGAGAATTCCAGGAAAGCAGATTTCATCTTGATTAAAAAGAAGAGCTTTCTGTTGGACATGGTGGCTCACACCTGTAATCCCAGCACTTTGGGAAGCCAAGGCAGGTGGACCACCTGAGGTCAGGAGTTTGAGACCAGCCTGGCTAACATGGTGAAACCTCGTCTCTACTGAAAATAGAAAAATTAGCTGGCTATGGTGGCATGTGCCTATAATCCCAGCTACTTGGAAGGCTGAGGCAGGAGAGTTGCTTGAACCTGGGAGGCAGAGGTTGCAGTAAGCTGAGATTGTGCCACTGCATCTAGCCTGGGTGACAGAATGAGACTCTGTCAAAGAAAGAAAGAAAGTGGGGCGGGGGGAAGGGAGGGAGAAGGAGAGGGAGAGGGGAAGGGGAGGGGCAGGGGAGGGGGAGGGGAAAGCAAAGCTAAGCTTCCTAGTACAGTGTTTCCCAAAACCTTTTCCACAAAACTGTAGTTCCACATCATGTTAATAAATGTTACCAGGTAAAGGTAGCCTGATCTCGTGGTCAAATAATTTGGGGACACTAGGCTAGATATCATGCTACACAAATTTAAACAGGTTTAATGCAGGACTTCTCAGAACCTTTACTAAACTAATGCGTATTGGTAATCTCCATGGGGTGTGTGTGTCTGTGTCTGTGTCTGTGCAATTCCCAACTCTCAAATATATTTAGCAAGGAAATACTTTCTGTGTTCCTATGGTGGCATGGATGGCTTTGGGAAGTGGTAAGCCATCAATAAAGGCGTGGAAGAAGACGATAGATGGACCTTTTGGGAAAATGCAGATGAGGGGTCCTACACTGGACTGGGAGTTGGAAGGAAGATGGGTAAGCTCTTCTACGCCAGCGCCCCCTGACCCTGGGATTTGCTGACATCAGCCCACAAAGAACACTCTGCTTCCTCCTAGATTGCCTGGCTGATGCAAGTCACCATGGGCACCACAGCCACTGAGACCCTGAGTGTGGCTGGAAACATCTTTGTGAGCCAGGTGGGTACGGCAGCCTCCTGCCCTCATGCTCATCAGCAGCTTCCACAAAGCAGGCAGGTGCCCTGGGTCCCCAGGGCTCTGATTCAGTCTGAGGAAGAGCCATTTGAACCTTCTCCCAGGGTCATCAAAGGCCGCTGGCCCAGAGATACTCTGTTTGGGGATGCCTGGGTCATGCCAGGGAGGATGTCACCTGCCTGGCATCTCACCCCTCTGACCCTAGGCAGTCTTCATCACCCAAAGACTCACAAATCCTACAGATAGAGTCCACTTTCTTGTTTTATACAAGAAACAGGTTCAGGGCGTGGGAATCCCATGGCCAAGATCCCACATGTATAAGCCGCAGGTTCGAATCCAGGTTTTCTTCTTCCTGGTCGGAGTTTTTTCCATTGCATCATTTTGTCTTTTCTGTTCTCTCTCTTTCTGAAAATGTGTTTTCCAAAGTAACTGTGACTGAATGCACCCTTAGTGGAGTCCCTTTCAGAGAGCCTGATCCCCCGGAGGATGGCCTGCTGGAGACTCTGCCATGGTCTGTCCCGGCCCATCTACCTAACGTTTGAGTCTCTCACCAAGAGACACACTGTCAAAAGATGCCATATTTCATTGGACAGTTTAGGAGGCTTTGGAGAATATTTGTATCTTGTTTGCTATGGTGCAAGTGTGTTGATTTCAAAGTTTTTTTCCGGTTGTTTTTTGTTTCGTTTTTATCTTATTTTTAGCCAATGAAGATAGGTGTGCTCTCAGATAAGCTGTCACAAAAATCCCTTAAGGTGTTCAAAATGAGGCAAAAGAGGAAAACAATATTAAAATGCAAAGCAGTTATTTTATATGAAAGGCTGCAAATGTTTTGCAAAGGCTGTGTGTTTTGCTGGGAAAATATGTAGGTGAAGGTGACATTGGGTGATGTGAAGTGCTGCCAAGGTAAATTCACTCCGGACAAGTTGATTAAGGTACCTAGTTCTGCGCCTCATTTCCCACAAGAGGAGGGGATGGGGAGCCTTCAGGGGTCAGTGGCGTCATTTCAACCTCTATATGTGGCAGGCCTGGCCCTCTCCTCTTGTCCGTCTGCACTCCCTCCCTGCGGGATCACACTAGCCTATGGCCTTAAACACTTTCAGTGGCTCCCAGGTCTGCTCTGCGCTCCTGACCTGCCACGAACTCAGGACTGAGAGTTCACTTGACCGTTCACTTGGAGATCTAAGGGGTGTCTCACATTAAGACACTAAGTCCAAACAACCAGAACTGTTGCTCCCCTCCCCCATCACCCCTCCCTGTCTCAAGCCCTTCCCCTTGGCATGTGGGAACATCTTCCACTGGATCGTTCAGACAGAACAGCCTCTCTAGCAGCTGGGATTACAGGCACGAGCCACCATGCTCGGCTGATTTTTGTATTTTTGGTAGAGATGGGATTTCACCATATTGGCCAGGCTGGTCTCGAACTCCTGACCACAGGTGATCGGCCGGCCTTGGCCTCCTAAAGTGCTGAGATTACAAGCGTGAGGTACCATGCCTGGCCCACTCAGTTTTAAACACCCCCGACCAGTAGGCATTCTCACACATATTTTCATCACTTTCATCACCATCTGAAAGGACATTGCTTACCTGCTTGGTTCCTTGTTGATTATCTGTATTCTCCCACCACCGCTAAAGCCCTCCTTCAGCCCTCCACTGCTCCCAGGATGTAAGCCCCATGAAGGCAGGGACTTTATATTGTTGACCCCATGTTCCTATTCTGTAGAACAGTGCCTGGAACACAGTAGGTGCTCAATAACTAGTTACTGAGTGAATAATGAAGGGCTTCAGGCTGCCCAGATGCCCAGAAATGCACCCCCTATCCAATGCCCCAGCCCCTTTTCGGCCACCCCCCGTGGTTGCAGGACAGCTTAGACCTGCTCCCCATCCCTCTGCATGAGCAGGCGTCATTCCTGGCACCCCTCTGAGCCTCTTTTGCTCTCCCGGAAAATGGAGATGCCCACTTCTATCTCAGAAGGTTGTGAGTAATGAAGGTGACGTGCTTAGTGGGGTGCCTGGTTTGTGGCGGGCCAATGACACAGGGGAGCATTGTCAGGCTGGGATGGGGGGACGGGGGTCCTTCTGCAGGCCATGCTGAGGTTCAGAGAGGCTCAGCCACACACAGACCCTGGTCCTCACCCCATCCTGCTGCCTCTTGCCACAGGACTCCCAGGCGCTCGCTGTGACCTGTGGAGGTGAAGGGTGTGCCCAGCCGCCCCGCTCTGCTTGTCTGACATCTTTCCTGTTTGCAGACCGAGGCTCCGTTACTGATCCGGCCCTACTTGGCAGACATGACACTCTCTGAAGTCCACGTTGTCATGACTGGAGGCTACGCCACCATTGCGGGCAGCCTGCTGGGCGCCTACATCTCCTTTGGGGTAGGTAGTGCCCTCCTTCTGCTTGGCTATGTTGAGGACCTGAAGCCCACCTTTGTGGGAGCCCCACACAGCTCCTGGCCGGAGCAGGTCTCGGATCTTCTCTCTTGGGCCTGCTGTGCTGGTGAGAGGAGCGGCGTCCCCTAAGCCAGGCAGGCCAGTGGGCTGGACCATTTGCTCAAGTTTCGCACATGGCCACCTAGGGCAAAGCATCCCGGTGTTCTGTTTACTGAGTGCATTCTAGGTACCAGGCAATATGCTAGAGTTTTAATATCCCCATTTCCAGAGGAGAAATTGAGGCTCAAGTGTAAGTGAGGTGCCCAAACCCAGATCTGTCTGACTGCAAAATTCATCTCATTTCTCCAGTCTCACACCTGGACCGGCCCTAGAGATCTGTCCCCTCCTCCCCTTCCCCACACTCTCTCTGGGCTCAGGCCCTGCCTCTGCTCTTAAATTGTTGCTTATGCAGTTTACATAGCACAAAGCATTTGTAGGTCAAATTCCAGTGGTGTGAATTAGGCCCTTAAAGCAATCTCAGTGCTACTGCATGGCAGGCAGAGAAGAATTTTCAAATGCATCCCTGCAAAATGCCCAGTAATAATGCTTTACATTCATAAAACACCTTGTGCTTTCACAGGCAAATCTTCAAAGCTCTCAATTTTATTTCCTTAACTGTCAAAGAAATTCTTGCTTATTGCAGAAGCAAATAAGTTTTTAAATCTCTTTCTTAACCCCACTTCCCACAGGTAACTGCTTTTATTTATTGATTTATTAATGTAATTTTTTTTTTTTTTTGAGACAGAGTCTTGCTCTGTCTCCAGGCTGGAGTGCAGTGGTTCAATCTTGGCTCATTGCAGCCTCTGACTCCCTGGTTCAAGTGATTCTCCTGCCTCAGCCTCCTGAATAGCTGGGATTACAGGCACGAGCCACCATGCCCAGCTAATTTTTTTTTTAAAATTTTTAGTAGAGATGGGGTTTCACCATGTTGGCCAGGATGGTCTCGATCTCCTGACCTCATGTTCTGCCCACCTCAGCCTCCCAAAGTGCTGGGATTACAGGCGTGAGCCACCATGCCCGGCCTGGTAACTGCTTTTAATAGCTTAGAACAGCTGTTCTCAAAGTGGGGTCCATGGACCAGCATAGTCAGCATCACGTGAGAACTTGTTAAAAATGCAGATTCTTGGGCCCGGCCCAGACCTGCTGAATCAGGAACAATGGGGAGGCCAAGGCAGGTGGATCACCTGAGGTCAGGAGTTTGAAACCAGCCCAGCCAACATGGAGAAACCCTGTCTCTACTCAAAATACAAAAAAATAGCTGGCCATGGTGGTGGGTGCCTATAATCCCAGCTACTCGGGAGGCTGAAGCAGGAGAGTCGCTTAAACCCAGGAGGCGGAGGCTGCAGTGAGCTGAGATCGTGCCACTGCATTCCAGCCTGGGCGACAGAGTGAGACTCTGTCTCAAAAAAAAAAAAAAAAAAAAAGAAAAGACAAGGAAAGAAAAGAAACAATGGGGGTGGGACCAGCATAGTGCGTGGCAGCAAGCCTCATAGGTGATTCTGATGCTCACTGAATTTGAGACCCACGGACCTAAAATGTCATTCCAAATCTGTCTGTGTAAGTAGTCTTTCAGGTATATACGCCTGAGTACTCACATACTTTTTAAATTTTTTTTTTTAAATAAAAGATGAGAATCATTGATCAAGAGAAAATAGCTCATAAATTATAAAAAGATATTCAAGCTCACTGTTGTTTAAAGGAATTAAGACAATAATAACTTATCTTTCTTCTAAGTGATATGCAACCCTTTATGTGTCTCCAAATGGCAAGAGTGTGGTACTCATCCACTCATGATGAGAGTTTAATTTACTGTAACCTTTCTGGTGAACACCTATCAGTCAATTTATTTTTTATTTATTTGATTATATAGATCACTTAAAATATTTTATTTTTTCCTTTTTAACTTCCCACATGACACCAACATATATATATATTTGTATATATATTTGGAGACAGAGTCTCCCTCTGTTGCTCAAGCTGGAGCACAGTGGTGCAATCACAGCTCACCACAGCCTCAAACTCCTGGGCTCCAGCAATCCTCCCACCTCAGCCTCCTGAGTAGCTGGGACTACATATGTGAGCCACCACCTCTGGCTATTTTTTCTTTTTTTCAGTAGAGATGGGGTCTTGCTGCGTTGCCCAGGCTGGTCTTAAGCTGGGCTCCAGCAATCCTCCCACCTTGGCCTCCCAAAATATTGGGAATATAGGCATGAGCCACTGCACCCAGCTTCAGTCACTTTAGAAATACTCTTTCCCTTTGATCCAGCTAGAAAGATTGTGATATAGAGATATTCTCACAAATGTTCAAGAAATGCAAAATTTCAACATTATTTGCAAAAGCAAGAAAACTGGAGAGACTAAATGCCCAGCAGTACAGTCATGAGCTGGGTAAGTTGCTGCCAAAAGGCGGTGGCATTCAGCGTGAAAGCGAGGTGGCTTGTTTATTGGAGAGTGACCCTGCCCTGCCTTTGCCCCCCTCCCAGGCTCTCTGGATGTTGTGTGTGGTGGGGGGTGACCACAGAGTGACCTATACTGTCCCCTTCTGCAGTTCCAAATTCCACCTGTCTCTCTCATCTGTTCCTGGGGATGACGAGGGATGGGTGAAAGGGCAGCCAGCCTGCCCCTCCGCCTCTCCTTCACTCCAGACACCTGGGCCACACCAAGAACCTCACTGTCTCTACCTCCCACAGAGTTGTCTGGCAGGGCCAGCTGTTGCATGACTTTTCAAGAAGTCCCCCTGTGCTCAGGGGCTTTGGATTCTGGGAGGGCGCCCTCCCATCTAGAATTCTAGAGACTCTCATCTGGTTTGCACCTGTCTCGCTGGGGCCTAGAAAGGGCTCGTTAGAGCTGGTGCACTCCCCACCACCAATTGTTTTTGGAAGTGTAGGGGCCAAGGGGAAATTTCCCCTATACCCTCTGAAGGTCACTGAAAACTCAACTCACAAAAGACAGATTAACAGGAGGAAGGCACACGAATTTATTTAATATATACACACGCGAGCCTTCAGAACGAAGACCCAAAGATACAGGGAAAATCGTCCATTTTTATGCTCAGGTTCAACAAAGCATGGACAGCCACATAGAAATAGAATTGGACAGAGTGTGATCTAATACTAATGGACTCAGTGGAGGAGAAACAGCAAAGCCCATCTGTCTAGCCCCTTCTTGGCTCTCTGAGCGTGCATTTGTTCCTTTGGCATATGGGGCAAGATCATCACTGGAAGGGGGCCTTATGACCTCCAGTCAAACAAGGAAGGTAGATAATTTATTTATGGCCAGTTTGTACCCAGGAAGGCAGAGGGAAGGCAGAGCACTGTTTTTGGCGTTATGGCTGGCTCTGGGTAAAAGAGCTTCTGGTCTCCGGGCCCTGCCTTGGGGAAGAGGGATTCTGGTTTCTATGGCTAGCCTTGGGGAAGAATTGGACTGAACGATGGGAGAGCGGGAGAGAAAGACTTCTTCCCAGGCTGCTTCTGAACCCTTCATTTTTGGGTATTGTTTTCAAAGTCTCAACAGAAGAAATTCGATGTTTCAAAAATGGAAACCCAAAACTTTGTTCCTGAAACTTTTTTCATGACAGGATATTGGGGGAGGGGATGCCGTACTATTTTCAGAACTTAGGGCTTTAAATGTCTTAACCTGGCTCTGGTCCCCTCAGCCGAAAGAATAACCCTGGTGTTCTTCTAGTCATTACTTAAAACCCAGCCCTCCTTCCTGCCCTTTCTCAGGCAAAAGTCCAGGCCCAGCCCTGGGCCGTCTGGCTTCCCCATTGGCGGGGCCTGGGTACCCATGTCCCTTTACCTACACAGAATGGGCAGAGGTAGCCAGGATCAGCCCTAGGGGCCCTTGAGCCTCCACTCACAGTCTCTGGTTTGGAAGCCCCAGGCTACAACCACAGCTGGCCCAGAGGTAGAGCGCCTAACAGCCTGTCAAACCTTCCTTTCCTTCAATCTCTGGATCTGCCCCTAGTCTTGTCTCCAGTGCAGCTCTCTTCTGCCCCCACCTGGCTCATGACAGTCACTGCACCACCCCTGCAAGGCACTCCCTCTACCTTCCTTCCTCAGTGAGCTCCTCAGTATCTTTGGTTCTGCCTTCAGCCCCTGAATCCCAGAAGGGTCTTTTTTGCTCTTTCCCCCAAGCTCCCAGATCCCTTTTTTTCTTTGAGACAGAGTCTCCCTCTGTCACCCAGGCTGGAGTGCAGTGGCTGGATCTCGGCTCATTACAACCTCCACCTCACAGGTTCAAGCAATTCTCCTGTCTGTCTCCCAAGTAGCTGGGATTACAGGGCCCGCCATCACGCCCAGCTAATTTTTGTATTTTTAGTGGACACAGGGTTTTACCATGTTGGCCAGGCTGGCCTTGGACTCCTGACCTCAGGTGATCGGCCCATCCCGGCCTCCCAAAGTGCTGGGATTACAGGCACGAGCCACTGTGCCGGGCTTCCAAGTCCCAGATTCATAAGACCACTTTGTAGCTCAATTTCTGTCTCCCTTCTTCACACATCCCTCCTATTGCTAATATCTGGATATTTCTAGACCTCACTGTCCAAAACAGTAGCCACCAACCACACATGACTATTGAGCACTTGAAATGTGGCTAGTCATACTCAAAAAAAAATTTAAGATGTTTTGTTAATTTGTAGTTTTTATCTTGTCATCTATATTGATAATTTTATATTGATTACATGGGTGGAAAGAAAATATTTTGGATATATTGGGTTAAATAAAACATTATTAAAATTAATTTAACTTATTTTTTTTCCTTTTTAAAATGTGGCTACTAGGCTGGACGCATGGCTCATGCCTGTAATTCTAGTACTTTGGGGGGCCAAGGCAGGAGGATGACTGAAGCCAGGAGCTTGAGAACCAGCATGGGCAACATAGGGAGACCCCATCTCTACAAAAAATTGAAAAATAAAAAATTAGCTGGGCATGGTGGCACACATCTATAGTCCCAGGTATTTGGGAGGCTGAAGCAGGAGGATCACTTGAGCCCAGGAGGTCGAGGCTATAGTGAGCCATGATCATGCCATTACACTCCAGCCTGGGTGACAAGTGAGACCCTTTGGGTCAGAGAGAAGGGCCATGGGCAGGCATGGGCCCTGGGATGCTAGGATGGAAGGCTCTCCTGACCAGGTGCCTGGGAGGCAGGGCTGGGGAACGTCACAGAGTGGAGTAGCTGGCAGTGGGGAGGTGGATGTGGGCTGGCCCAGTGCCCAGGGAGCCCTGCCTGTGCAGGACTCAGCCCTTTCCATGATGAGCTAGAAACTACCAACTGCAGCATTTGAGGTGGTGACCACAACTGGCCCACCCAGGGGACAGTGTCCAGGAATGTGACAACTGCAGGGTGTGTTCCCTGCTGTGACTCAGGTTTACAAACCAGATGTGATCTACAAGTCAGAGGAAGGGGCAGGGTCCTGACTGGTGGAAGGAAAATCCCAGGATTCCAGGTGTGTCACCATCCCAGCTGGGGCTGGGCAACTGAGGAGGAAGCAAGTGAAGTCCCAAAGCCCCACCCAGAAAGTCCAGAAAGGACACCTGACCCAAGTGGGCTTCATCTAGCAAAAGGCAGGGGCCCAGGCTTGCGTGCCCAGTTTCCACACAGGGCCCTGGTGAGGTATCAGGCAGCTGCCAATTCTTGTTCATGTTTTAAGGGGTTTTGTTGGTGCTTAAAAAGAAACAACTAGCGGCCGGGTGTGGTGGCTCACGCCTGTAATCCAAGCACTTTGGAGGCCAAGGCAAGCGGATCACCTGAGGTCGGGAATTCAAGACCAGCCTGACCAACATGGTAAAACCCCGTCTTTATAGAAAAAAAAAAAAAAAAAGAAACAACTGGGGTTTAAAAAAAAAGGACACAAGACCTGGGATTCAGAGCCTGAGAGGGTCTCTAGCCTGGCTTCTCAGCAGCAGGCCTGGTACTTCCCTGAGATGGTAATAAGGGGCCCCCATGCTCTGTTCTCTGCTTTTTTTTTTTTGAAACAAAGTCTCACTCTGTCACCCAGGCTGGAGTACAGTGGTGTGATCTCAGCTCACTGCAACCTCTGCCTTCCGTGTTCAGGTAATTCCTGTGCTTCAGCTTCCCAAGTAGGTAGGATTACAGGTGTGTGCCATCATGCCAGGCTAATTTTTGTATTTTTAGTAGGGATGGAGTTTCACCATGTTGGTCAGGCTGGTCTCGAACTCCTGACCTCAAATGATCCATCCCGCCTTGGCCTCCCAAAATCCTGGGATTACAGGTGTGAGCTACCATGCCCAGCCTCCCCTCTGCTTTCATCAGCCTGAGTGTCTATCTTCAACTTACTTCTCTCCTTCTTTTTCTAACCCTTGAGAATACAGTTGGCTTATTACAAACTTTAAGACGAAAACATCTATTTTACTTTTCTTTTCTTTTTTTTGTGAGACAAAGTCTCACTCTGTTGACCAGGCTGGAGTGCATTGGTGTGATCTTGGCTCACTGCCAGCTCTGCCTCCTGAGTTCAAGCAATTCTTCTGCCTCAGCCTCCCAAGTAGCTGGGACTGCAGGCATGCGCCACCATGCCCAGCTAATTTTTGTATTTTTGGTAGAGATGGGGTTTCAGCATGTTGGCCAGGATGATCTCCATCTCTTGACCTTATGATCCACCCGCCTCGGCCTCCCAAAGTGTTGGGATTACAGGCGTGAGCCACTGCACCCGGCTGATTTTACTTTTTTGTTTATTAAAAAAAATATATTGCTGTGGACATTTTGAAAGACACCAAAATGCAGAAAGAAAAGAATATTGGCCAGGTGTGGTGGCTCACACCTGTAATCCCAGCACTTTGGGAAGCTGAAGCAGGTGGATCACGAGGTCAGGAGTTTGAGACCAGCCTGGCCAACACAGTAAAACCCCATCTCTACTAAAATTAAAAAATTAGCTGGGCTTGGTGGTGCTCATGTGTAATCCCAGCTACTCCGGAGGCTGAGGCAGGAGAATTGCTTAAACCCTGGAGGTGGAGGTTGCAGTGAGCCGAGATTGTGCCACTGCACTCCAGCCTGGGTGACAGAGCAAGACTCTGTCCTGGGGGAAAAAAAAAAAAAAGGAAAAAAGAAAATCACCCTTGGCCCCACCAGCCAGGGACAGTGAATTCATTGGCATTTCGGTGTATTTTTTTCTGCTCTTTCCATGCATCAGTTTGGAGTCTGTTTCCCCACTGTCCCCTGTTTTGGTCATTCTCTACCTGCAATGTTGTAGGGCCTTTCCCACATCACTGTGAGGCCTTGGTGACCTTCATTTTTAATGACAGCTGGACGATGCTTAGCCATTCTTTACTGTTAGATGTCTGAGCTGGTTCTAGTTTCCCTGCTTGGTAAATGATGCAGTGATGTGGGGGAAACATGTCATTTATCTCTGTGGAAAAGAACAGAGAATCGAGGGGTTTGGGGTCACAGTGAAGATAAAAATTCAGGAAGGGAGAATCACAGGGGACGACATTGCTCTGCCATCTTGCTGAGAAGGTTTTTTACAGCATGGGTCCCAGAAGGAGACTCAGGGCCAAATGGTGGTTGTTTAGAGGCAGATTTCCTGAGAAGGAGTTCTCACACTGCAGGATTCGGTGTGATGGGCTGCCTTGCAGTGGTGAGTTCCCCGTCCCAGTAAGCATTCAAAGAAAGAACCTAGAGAGGGGGTACATTCCTACACTGGTACATACCTACACTAAGGTGGAGCTCGGTGAGCTGTTAAATCCATTTCACTTCCACTCTCAGGTTCTAGATCTTTGTCTGAAACCATCACAAATTCTTTCACTAAGGGGGAAACCTCAGCTAACGGGGATTAGTGGTCAACAGTGACGGCCTAAAAAGGAATAAAGAACCTTGAACTTGGAGCCAAAAGATGTGATGGGCTCTAATTCCCTCTCTCCCTTTACTTTGGGCAAGTCATATTGAATCCTTTGGAGTCTCAGTTTCCTTGTCCGTAAAATGAGGATAACAATATTCGTCATTCCTAAGTTAGAGAAGCACCAGGAAGAAACAGAAGGTGCTGTACATACAGCCTGTGAGCTTTTACGCATAAAAGGTATTATAATAACGATGATAGCAGTTGTGACAATGGGGACATGCCAGTGGGACAGACTACACATGTGCCCTTGCTGCCCTGGGCCGTACTTCTTGGTCACCAGCATTTCTCCTGGCTGCCCACCTGGATCCCACACTCTCACTTTTGCAGATCGACGCCACCTCGCTGATCGCAGCCTCCGTGATGGCTGCCCCTTGTGCCTTGGCCCTCTCCAAGCTGGTCTACCCGGAGGTGGAGGAGTCCAAGTTTGGGAGGGAGGAAGTGAAACTGACCTACGGGTGAGCACAGCAGGAGGTCCTGCAGAGGGCGTAGTGGTACAAGGTGCGGCGGCAAAGCAGGGGGTCCTGTTCTCTCTGTTCGTCACCGTCTTCCACCAGCTCCGGACGGTCGCTCCTCTTTCCCTGCCCTAGTTTGGCTTCATTTGCTGTCTTAGTCTGTTTTCTGTTGCTTATAACAGAATACCTGAAGCTTGGTAATTTGTAAAGAATAGGAAGCCAGGCACGGTGGCTCACGCCTATAATCCCAGCACTTTGGGAGGCCGAGGCGGGTGGATGAAGTCAAGAGATCAAGACCATCCTGGTCAACATGGTGAAACCCCTTCTCCACTAAAAATACAAAAATTAGCTGGGCATGGTGGCGCGTGCCTGTAGTCCCAGCTACTCAGGAGGCTGAGGCAGGAGAATTGCTTGAAGCCGGGAGGCGGAGGTTATGGTGAGCCAAGATTGCGCCACTGCTCTTCAGGCAGAATAACAAAAACTTGGTCTCAAAAAAAAAAAAAAAAAAAAAAAAAAAAGAATAGGAATTTATTTCTTATAGTTATGGAGGCTGAGAAGTCCGAGGTTGAGGGGTTGTATCTGGTGAGAGCCTTCTTGCTGCTGGGGATTCTGCAGAGTCCCAAGGTGGCACAGGGTGTCACATGGTGAGAGGTTGCGGGGTACCAGGCAGTGAACTGAGTATGCTAGCTCAGATCTCTCTTCCTCTTCTTAAGAAGCCACCAGTCAAGGCCAGGCGCAGTGGCTCATGCCTGTAATCCCAGCACTTTGGGAGGCTGAGGCAGGTAGATCACTTAAGGTCAGGAGTTTGAGACCAGCCTGGCCAACATGGTGAAGCCTGTATCTGCTGAAAATACAAAAGTTAGCTAGGCGTAGAGTCTCACGCTTGTAATTTTAGTTACTTGGGGGGCTGAGGCACGGGAATTGCTTGAATCTGGGAGGTGGAGGTTGCAGTGAGCCTAGAAGGCACCATTGCACTCCAGCCTGAGCAACAGAGCAAACCTCCGTCTCAAAAACAAAACAAAACAAAACAAAAAGCCACCAGTCCTACTCCCGTGATAGCCCATTATCCCATTAATCCATTAATCCAAAATTCAGGAATGGATTCACCCATTCAGTAGGGCAGAGCCCTCATGACCCAATCACCTCTTAAAGGCCCCAACTCTCAATTCTGCCACATTGGGGATTAAGTTTCAACATGAGTTTCCGAAGGGCAAACATTCAGACCACGGCATTTGCAAAAATGCACACTCCAATTCTCACATCTTAATTTCCAGTGTCTGACCAGCAGGAAGCAATGGACCAGGCGAGGCTTGGGAGTGTGGCCTGGTTCTTGGCGCTGTGGCCTGTCATGTGTGCATGTTGAGGAAGGTCATCGAAAGGCCCCATGCCACCGTGTCTGTGTGCCTGATCTCTGACCACACAGGGTACCAACCACCCATTGACATGCTGAGTGCCATCTTTGATTTCACTCACCTTCTGATATCCTGTCATAGTCTTAATAACTGTTAGATAACATTTAAACCTTAAACAGTGTTGAAAAGGCACCATGACAGACACACGCTTGGGCACACCCCAGCCTCACAACCTTCTGAAGCACTGAGCAACCTGTCCCATGGAAGTGTAATGTGAGCTGCACCTGTCATTTTCTAGTCATTTTCTAGTAGTTGTCCTTTAAAAAGTCAAAAGAAATGGGTGATTTTAGTAACCCATTTTACTTAACCCTGTACACGCCAAGGTATTGTCATTTCACCATGTAACCAGTATAAGAATTATTGAGATATTTTGCCTTTTTCGGTACCAAATCCTCCAAATCTGGTCTATATTTTGCACTTACAACAAATTCAATTCAGACAGCCTCCTGTCACATTCGGCTAATGGCTTCCATCTTGGACAGTTCAATGCTAGAAACCTGGACCTTGTCCCAGTGCTTTGGCCAACCCCTTTTTCTCTCTGGGTCTCAGGGAAAATGAGCAATTCCTGCTCTGAAGTGCTCTTCCAGGGTTCCTATTTGCGCCTGTAAGATAGGGACCCTCGCTGTTGTGGAGACAGGCCAGTAACAATTGTTCTCGATCCCAACGACAGAGATGCTCAGAACCTCATAGAAGCAGCCAGCACTGGGGCCGCCATCTCCGTGAAGGTGGTTGGCAACATCGCTGCCAACCTGATTGCGTTCCTGGCCGTGCTGGCCTTCATCAATGCTGCCCTCTCCTGGCTGGGAGACATGGTGGACATCCAGGGGCTCAGCTTCCAGGTGCGTTTCTGGTCACCACGCTCGGTCTGTAGAGAGGATGGCCCCAGGTGGTGGCGTGTGGTGGCTGGAGGCCCTGCAGAGTCTAGGCCCAGCCCTCAGTGCCAGCCACACCCTTGTCCCCTCAGCTCATCTGCTCCTACATCCTGCGGCCTGTAGCCTTCTTGATGGGCGTGGCCTGGGAGGACTGTCCAGTGGTAGCTGAGCTGCTGGGGATCAAGCTGTTTCTGAACGAGTTTGTGGCCTATCAAGAACTCTCCAAGTACAAGCAACGCCGCCTGGCAGGAGTCGAGGAGTGGGTCGGCGCCAGGAAGCAGTGGATCTCCGTGAGTGGCCCAGTCCCTTCCCTGTGGCAGGCGATGACATGGCACAGCCGCTCCTGAGGGCCCCTGGTGGCTGCTCTCCTGCTTCCTGGGCCTGGCTGGAGGGGTGCTTCCCCACCACATCCTATAGTCCCGGGAGACAGGACGGCTTCGGGCTTCGCTGCCATCTGAGGCGTGGGGAGGGAGCCCTGTGGGAAGTCCGAGACCCAGGTCTAGATGGGTCGCCTTTCACTGTGGCCTTGGGCCAGCCACAGCACCTTTCCTCTTCTGTGGAAAACGGGGTAAAATACCTGCCACATCTACTCCAAAGGCATACCCATTCGCATCTAACAAGCTGCAGAGTGAGTGAGATCAGGAGACTTCACTAACGCCTTCGCTGTTTTGTTTTTTTTTGAAATGGAGATTCGCTTTTTCAGCCCAGGCTGGAGTGCAGTGGCACATTCTCACCTCACTGCAACCTCCACCTCCCAGATTTGAGCAATTCTCGTGCCTCAGCCTCCCGAGTAGCTGGGACTACAGATACCTGCCACCATACCCAGCTAATTTTTGTATTTTTAGTAGAGATGGTGTTCACCATGTTGGCCAGGCTGGCCTCGAACTCCGGATCTCAAATGATCCATCTGCTTCAGCTTCCCAAAGTGCCAGGATTACAGATGTGAGCCACTACACACGGCCATCACCTTCACTGTTAATATAGTGGATTCAGCGCAGGGGTTGGTCCTTTCTGTCAAAATTTATTTTTAAATTCTATAAAAGATCTATAAGATTAACCATTCTAAAAGAATAACATTATTGAGAATGAAAAAATTACCTATAATCTCACCATCCCAAATAGTAATTATTGTTGTTTCTTACATTTTCTTCCATTCTTTTTTTTTTTTTTTTTTGAGCTGGGTTGTCTCTCTCTTTTGACCCCCGGGGGCGGAGTATCGCGGCTACCTAGGACGCCTGCATGCTCCGCCTCCTGGGTTCAGGCAATTCTCCTGCCTCAGCCTCCTGAGTAGCTGAGATTACAGGCACATGCCACCATGCCCAGCTGAATTTTTGTATTTTTAGTAGAGACGGGGTTTCACCATGCTGACCAGGATGGTCTCGATCTCTTGATCTCGTGATCCACCCGCCTCGGCCTCCCAAAGTGCTGGGATTACAGGCGTGAGCCACCGCGCCCGGCCTCTTCCATTCTTTTTAAGAGAGAGTTTAGGCTAGGCGCAGTGTCCCATGCCTGTATTCCCAGCACTTTGGGAGGTCAAGGTGGGAGGATCACTTGGGGCCAGGAGTTCAAGACTAGTCTGGGCAACATAGTGAGACCCTGTCTTTACTCAAAATTTTAAAAATTGCGAGGTGTGGGCCAGGTGTAGTGGCTCATGCTTGTAACCCTAGCACTTTGGGAGGCCAAGGTGGGCAGATCATGAGATCAGGAGTTCAAGACCAGCCTGGTCAACATGATGAAACCCCATCTCTACTAAAAATACAAAAAATTAGCTGGGCATGGTGGCGGGCGCCTGTAATCCCAGCTACTTGGAAGGCTGAGGCAGGGGAATTGCTTGAAATTGGAAGGCAGAGGTTGCAGGGAGCCAAGGTCACGCCACTGCACTCCAGCCTGGACGACAGAGCGAAACTCTGTCTCAAAAAAAAAAAAAAAAAATTTTCATGGTGCAGTGGTGCATGAATGTAGTCCCAGCTACTTGGGAGGCTGAGGCAGGAAGATGGCTTGATCCCAGGAGTTTGAGGTTGTTATGAGCTAGGATTGTGTCACCGCCCTTCAGCCTGGGCAACAGAGCAAGACCCTGTCTTTAAAAAAAAAAAGAGGAAAGGAGAGAGCTAACATAGTTGCTGCTGTAGCAGCCATCCTGTGCTGTAGCCAGCTGTGTTTTTACTCAGTATTATAACATAAGCATCATTTTTTATATACGTGTCCTAACATACCCAAGCCCCTGCTGTTGGGCCATTCAGACAATTCTATTATTTGGTTTTTATCTGCATGTTGAAATGAGTCTCTTTGTGCGTATAGCCCTTCCTTTCTCTCAGAGCGTTTCTGCCGCTTTCCCAGGTGTGGGCTGACTGAATCCCACACGCGTCTTCACGTGGCTACAGCGGCCGAAATCACCAGCACCAGCTGTGCCCATGAGCGTTTATTTCACCACACGGCTAAACCTCCGGGAGTAGCTTCTTTTTAAAAACAAGGTTCCCTACTTTAATGAGCAAGTAATAGCTCATTGTTTTCATCTGCATTACTTCGGTGACTGAAAACTTTCAACAGGAAGTTCTTTTTCTTGTCTTTTAAATTCCTTTTTAAATTGTAAAGGAATGGACTCTTTAGGTTTTTTAAAAAAGAAAGTTTGTGGCCATGCACCCTGGCTCATGCCTGTAATCTCCGTACTTTGGGAGGTAGATCACTTGAAGTCAGGAGTTTGAGACCAGCCTGACCAACACGGCAAAAACCCTCCTCTACGAAAAATACAAAAATTTTAATTTTTTTCTGCCCATGTGGTGGAACACGCCTGTAGTCCCCGCTACTCCCGAGGCTGAGGCACAAGAATCGCTTGAACTTGGGAGGTGGAAGTTGCAGTGAGCTGCGACTGCACTCTAGCTTGGGCAGCAGAGCAAGACTCTGTCTCAAAGACAAACAAACAAAACAAAACAAACAAACAGACAGGTGCAGTGACTCACACCTGTAATCCCAGCACTTTTGGAGGCCAAAGCGGGCGGATCACCTGAAGTCAAAAGTTCGAGACCAGCCCGGCCAACATGGTGAAACCCCGTCTCTAGTAAAAATACAAAAATTAGCCAGGCTTGGTGGCAGGTGCCTGTAATCTCTGCTACTCAGGAGACGAGGCAGGAGAATCTCTTGAACCTGGGAGGTGGAGGTTGCAGTGAGCTGAGATTGTGTTATTGCACTCCAGCCTGGGCAACAAGAGTGAAACTCCATCTCAAAAAAAAAAAAAAGAGGTTTGTATAGAGTCAAGTTTCCCCTCCCTGCTTTCTCTTACCTCTGGTCTCACCCGTCCTCAGAGGTTAATGGAGGGCACACCCCTTCCTGTTCTTTTATTTATTTAATTTTCATGGGTACCTAGTAGGTGCATATGTTTCTGTGGTAAGTGAGGTGTTCTGATACAGGCACGCAGTGTAAAAATATGGAATGCTTCATGAATTTGCACATTATTCTGCACAGGGGTCGTGCCACATTCCTCTGTATCGTTCTGATTTTAGTATGTGTGCTGCTGAAGCACATCATGATCTTTTTTATGAACTTCACTCCTTCAGCAAGTATTTGTTGAGACCACTTAGGTGGCAGGCCTCCTGCTAGGCATGGGGGATAACAAGGAGAATTAGGCAGACGTGGCCCTGGTCTCTTGGAGCCGACATCTAGTGAGAGACACAGGCAAACACAAGAAAGCAAAAGAACAAAAATTAAAATAACAGCGATTGTGGTGAGTTATTTGAAGGAAAAAACAGGGCAGGGTCTTCCTTTGGTGGACTGGTCAGAAAAGATCTCCCTGAGATGTGGCATTTAAGCCAAGACTTGGAGAAGGGACGAGCTAGGACAAGCTGGGAAAAGCATTCCAAAGGAAGGGGCACGTGCAAAGGCCCTTGGTATGCTTAGAGAACAGAGCAATGAGCACAGCTAGAGCAGGTGGTAATCACAGGCCAGGAAGCAGTCAGAAATCACTGCAGATTTGACATTTTGAATTTTAAGACCATGACTGGTGGCCAGGTGTGGTGGCTCACATCTGTAATCCCAGCACTTCGGGAGGCTAAGGCAGGAGGATCACTTGAGACTAGGAGTTCAAGATCAGTCCTGAAACCAAAGCAAGACCCCATCTCTACAAAAAATTTAAAAATTAGCCAGGTGTAGTGGTGCACGCCTGTGGTCTCAGCTACTTGAGATGCTGAGGATCACTTGCGCCCAGGAGACTGGGGCTGCAGTGAGCTATGATTTTGCCACTGCACCCCAGCCTGGGTAACAGAGCGAGACCCTGTCTCTGAAAGAGAGAGAGAGGGAAGAAGGTAAGGTAAGGTAGGTTGGGAAGGAAAGGGGAGGGGAGGGGAGGGAAGGGAAGGGAAGGAAAGGGGGGAAGGGAGGGAGGGAAGGAGGGAAGAAAAGGGAGGGAGGAAGGGAGGGAAAGAAGGGAGGGAGGGGCTGCTGTAGGTGGGCAAGCAGAGATACATATTTTTTCCAATAATATTTGTATCAACTCTTCATGTTATAAAGACATTAACTTTTTTCTGTTATGTTTTCTACATATACTTTTCCTTTTCTTCCCTTTATGTTGTATACGGAAATGTATTTTTTGGTTTTTTAGTGTAGAACACTTGATGAATTCGCGCGTCATCCTTGGGTAGGGGCCATGCTAATCATCTTTGCGTCATTGAAGTTTTAGTGTATGTGTATAAAAAGCACAGGAATTTATTGTTTTTTTAATTTAAAAATTGTATTTACTTAGAAGCATTTAGAATGTCGACAAAGCAGCTGTAACTTTTTAAAAAAATTACAGAGTGATATGTACGCAAGTATGTATGTATTTTTGGAGACAGGGTCTCACTCTGTCACCCAGACTGGAGTGCAGTGGTACAATCACAGCTTACTGTAGCCTCTGCCTCCCGGGCTCAAGGAATCCTCCTACCTCAGCCCCCGTGTAACTGGGATTACAGATGTACACCACTACGCCTGGCTAACTTTTGTATTTTTTTTTAGAGTTGGGGTCTTGCCATATTGCCCAAGTTTGTCTCAAACTCCCAACCTCAAGTAATCCTCTGCCTTGGCCTCCCACAGTGCTGGGATTATAGGCATGAGCCACAACGCCCGGCCCAAGTGGTTTTCAGTTCATTGTATCGGCAATTATTTGTGTAAGCTGCATCAGAGACAACTAAATATAAAGGCACTACCATCCACATACGCAGCTAATTTGTGCTGTGCGCCAAAAAGAGCGTGCTTTAAATTTCCGTGGCAATTTATAACCCCCATACGGCACCAGGCAAGGCTGGTGGCTATTGAAAATATTACCAGGACAGGGTTATCTAAAGACACATTGGGTAGTATGTTAACTATATGAAAAAAAAAGACACTGTACGGTTTAAAAACAAATCTTACATGGCCTTATATTTTAATTTATTTCTTTAAAATGAACGCATTGAGTATTGGCAGGGGGCGGGGGGGTGGTGACGGTTAAATACATTGTATATGAGAAAAAACCAAACTGCTAGAACCAGTTTATTCATCATCTTTGTTTTCATCTTTCCTTCCTCCTCATCCTCTTCCTCTTTCTCACGTTTCTCCCATTCTTTCTTTTTCTTGCTTGTTCAACCTTGAGAGCTCCCTTTTTTTGCTGCCCCAGGCTTCCCTTTAGCTCGGTGCGCAGCAATATCTTTTTGTATTTTTCGTTGAGCTTTGTGGATGTCTTTTCCTAAGGCTGCCTGTCCTCCTCAGCGGTTTTACAACCTCATGTTTCCTACTTTCTTTGCTATATCACCAACAGATAGGCTGGGATGTTCTCCTTTGATTTTTGGGTAATGCTTGGAATAGAACAAGAAGAGGCCAAAGGAGGCCTCTTGGATGTGTTGGGATGCTGGAACTTCTTTTTTGTTTTCCCTATAGGAAGGTTGTAAGTTTTCATTTCCCTTTCCTAGCCAGCCTTGTCTGCCTTGACTGCATCTTCAGATTTTCCTTTCTCTTTAGCGGACATGGTCTTCTGCCTCTGACTCTCTTAGAAAGCTCTGAGGAGTTGCCTGAAGCATCTGGGTGCTGCTTCTTGTGCCGCTGTCGACAAGCTTGGACAGGGAGTGCATATGATGACATTTTGCCTCTTGGCTTCTCAGAGTCTCCTCTGCCCCTGTTTAGTTATTTTCCTCAGTGAGGCACAGGGTCACCCAGTGTCTGTCAGCTCTCACTTGACCCAGCATTCGGGATTTTTCTTTTTTTTTTTAACACAGATTTTATGCCAAATATTTTCTTTTGTGATTTCTTCTATTATTTCTAAACTTAGAAAGTTATCTGGAAAATGCAGCTGGGCACGGTGGTTCATGCCTATAATTTCAGCACTTTGGGAGGCCAAGGAGGTTGGGTCACTTGATGCCAGGAGTTTGAGACTAGCCTGGCCAACATGGAGAAACCATGTTTGGTGAAACAAGAAATATAAAACTTAGCCAGTGTAGTAACACACACCTGTAATCCTAGCTACTTGGGAGGCTGAAGCATGAGAATCGCTTGAACCTGGGAGGCAGAAGTTTTCTGAAAGAAAGAAAAAGAAAGAAAAAGCATGTTTTCTGGAAAGTGTTAAATTCCTGAAATAATGTGATGAGATAATTCAGACCATAAGCTTTGCAGTCAGAACTGAATTCAAATTCTGATACAACTACCTTCTTGCTGTGTGAACTTCCTTAGTTACTTAACTTCTCTGAGCCTCGGTTTGCTCCTCTCCAAAATAAGAGTAACTATATTTATTATCCTATATTTTCTATCATTTCATGCTTAAAATGTTAATATTTATCTAGAATTTTTATATAGTATGCGGGAAGGCTCTATACCAATTTTTTTTATTTTAAAATTTTAATTTCTGTGGATACATAGTAGGTGTATATATTTATGAGGTACATGAGATGCTTTGATGCACACCAGCATGCCATGTGTGATAATGACATCATGGAGAATGGGGTATTCATCCCCTCAAGCATTTATCTTTTGTGTTACAAACAATCCAATGATACCCTTATTTTAAAATGTACAATTAAGTCATTGTTAACTATAGTCACCTTGTTGTGCTATCAAATATTAGCTCTTACTCGTTCATTCTAACTTATTTTGTACCCATAAATCAATTTTATTTTCAAATTATTTCATTTTGGCCCTTAAACCTTCTTTCTGGGAAATAGGACAGTTGTTAAGAACAAAAGGGAATAACTATCGTGTTTAAACACCTGCTCTCTGCCTGGTGTTTCCTGTATTTTACGTAATCCTCCTGACGGCTCTCCCAGGCAGGTACTATTATTCCCCCATTCTAGACAGGGAAACTGACACTGAGAGAAGCGACTGACTTGCTCCAGCTGATCTTGGTGAGCTAGTCCTGAAAGCCAGCCTGGCTGGGCTCCAAATCCCTTACTCTTTCCTGTAGGCCACACTCCCTCTCTCAGCCTGAGAGCAGTCACAGGAGTGCTATGTCCGGGAAGGGGCTGTCCACCCAGTCGCCCCAGGATACAACTTAGTAGGGCCAAAGCGAGAGGACTAAGAAAGGCTGAATCCCGTCTAGAAAGGCCGGTAATGAAGATTAAAAGCTTGAAGGACAGATGAGAGAGCGAAGCTATGTTTTTGATGTGGTGCCATTTGAGCTGACGTAGAGGTGGGATTGCAAGGCTGGGGAAGGGGCAGCACAGAGGGCTTGAAGATCAGTTACAGGTAAGAAGTGGGTAAAGTTAAGGCCAGGGATCTTGGGTGTTATAGGGCCACCCCGGGCCCGTCTGAGGGGAGCCCCTCCTCACGCATCTTCTGTATTTTCAGGTCAGAGCTGAAGTCCTGACGACATTTGCCCTCTGTGGATTTGCCAATTTCAGCTCCATTGGGATCATGCTCGGAGGCTTGAGTGAGTCTAATGGGGGCCTCACCAGTGTCTGGGAGAGCCAGAGACTTGAACTTGCTGGGGACATGGAGGCCTCAGTTGTCTCATTTTTCTAAAGCAGGGCCCAAGCAAGATGGCCATAGAGGCGGTTCGTGGTGGCTTGTGCCTGTAATCCCAGCACTTTGGGAGGCTGAGGGGGGTGGATCACTCGAGACCAGCCTGGCCAACATGGCAAAACTCCATCTCTACTGAAAATACAAAAATTAGCTGGGTGTGGTGGTGCACACCTATGATCCCAGCTACTCGGGAGGCTGAGGCATGAGGATGCTTGAACCCACGAGGTGGAAGTTGCAGTGAGCCAAGATCACACCACTATATTCCAGCCTGGGCGACAGAGCGAGAGTTTCCTTCTAGCCCTAGAATTCCGAATCTCTGCTGCTGGTGGTGGCCTAGGAGGTCAGCACTTGAGCCTTGAAGGCCAAGCCTGGCTCAGGGGTGGGAGGTATGGTGCTGGCCTGTCCCCAAAGCTATGGTCTGCCTGTTCTCACACCCACAGTGGACAGGCAGGCAGGCATGGTGGGGCCTAGGGTCGAAGACTCTGCACAGTTCTCAGTTCTTTACAAATAACATTTCCACTCCCAGCTGCTACCCTGCCTGGTGGTGAAATCACCCCATTTTACAAAGAAGGAAACTGAGTCTTGGAGAAGTGAAGCATGGCTCAGTTCCCTCGGCTAGCGAGTGGCTGGACCTGCATTTCATCCCAGGTCTGCCTGGCTCCAAACTCAAATTCTTTTCCTGCGTCTGCCACGGATGGTGTGTGGGGAGGTGTGGGCATTGCCACCAGGCCGAAGAGGGCTCCTGAGCTCAGCAAGTGGCCCGGAGGACAGCGTCTGTCCCTCTGGCCATCTATTAATAGAAGAGGAAGGGAGGTCAGCAGATGCAGCCGGAGCTAGAGAATGTGGCAGAGAGGGGCACAGCTTCCCTGGCCCTGAGTACTTCTGTCCCCTTGCAGCCTCCATGGTCCCCCAACGGAAGAGCGACTTCTCCCAGATTGTGCTCCGGGCGCTCTTCACGGGGGCCTGTGTGTCCCTGGTGAATGCCTGCATGGCAGGTGAGTGCAGGCCTGGCAGGCGCAGAATGTGGAACTCTGATTTTCTGGTTAGCCCGGGGGCCCTGCCCACCCACCTCTTTCCCCCCACAGGCGTCCTCTACGTGCCCAGGGGGGCTGAAGTCAACTGCATGTCCCTCCTGAACACGACCCTCAGCAGCAGTAGCTTTGAGGTGTATCAGTGCTGCCGCGATGCCTTCCAGAGGTAAGGGCGTGAGCTATGGGGCCTGCAGGGGACCCCCCGCGATGGGGCACGGAATGGGGCCTGCAGGGGACCCCCCCGAAATGGGGCACGGAATGCCTGAGTGCTGGGGGGGATGCCTTTGGTACCAGGGTGAGGGTAAAAATGTTATGGCTGCAGCTGATGGGGAAGTAAAGGCTTGAGGACCAGTGGAGGAAGGGTGGACCAGAGACTTGAAGCAATGTTCCCAGTGTTGCACAGCCTGGCGGTGGCCAGCAGAGCCAGCCTGGAGCTCACACTGCAATCTTTGCTTTTTTTTTTTTTTTTTTTTTTTTTAGCATCAACCCAGAGTTCAGCCCAGAGGCCCTGGAGAACTGCTGCCGGTTTTACAACCACACAGTCTGTGCGTAGCGAGGACAGAACCTGTTTGTGCTTCTGACCTTCCCTTTCCCAGGGCCCTCCTCAGGGAAGCCAGAGACTCAGCCCCAGCTCAGTCCCACAACTGGGAAGGGGTCATGGAGTGAATGTGCAGAGAGTGAGTGGGGACATCAGGAAGGACGTGTCCTACTGCACCTCTTTCCTCCTCCCCCATTTTCTACCTCCCCCAGTGTGAATTCTCAGGGTTACCTCTGCCTCCTCCTCCTTCCCCTCCACATCCAAGCAGCACCCTGGTCCTCTCTCCCCACCTCCCCTGGGGTCCCTCACATGCCCCTTCCTTTCTGTTGTGGGTGCACACCAAAGCCTCCTCCCCTCCCCACCTGGGCACCAGGATCTCTCTGTGGCTTCCCCTGCCAGGTGGTGTGGCCCCTTTCTCTGCTTTCAGAGACTCCCTTCCCACCTTCCCTCAGAGCGCTTCCCAAACTGAGGCCCCATGGCACACTCCCGGGAGGCGTTCGGAGGGTTCCGTGATCCACTAGACTTGGAAACACTGGGTCAAATAAACTTAGAGCGGCCTATTTGGACTTTTTGTTTATTTTTTTGTTTTTTAACTGTGGACTTGTCAGTGCTTGGTGTGGATATGAGGCTTTTTCCAAATTATTTAACCGTAAGAACTTTTTAAAATTATTATTTATTTTTATTCCACTGAACTTAGGAGCAAAGAACCTTTTTTTAAAGCCACGATCTCACTCTGTCGCTCAGGCTGGAGTATGGTAGGGTGATCGTGGCTCACTGCAGCCTCCACCTCTCAGGCTCAAGCAATCCTCCCATCTCAGCCTCCTAAGTAGCAAGGACTGCAGGCACGTGCCACCATGTCCAGCTAATTTTTATGTTTTGTTTTGTTTTGCTTTTTGGTAGAGACGAGATCTTACTATGTTGCCCAGGGCTGACTCAAGTGGTCTGCCTACCTTGGCTTCCCAAAGTGTTGGGATTACAAACGTCACTCACCGTACCTGACCCGTAAGAAGCTTTTTGATGGAAGTATCTCAGGTGAAGATTTTATGGAATACAACTTGGGAAATACTGGCTAATCTTCAAACTGCTTTACTCTACATAGCTGTAATATTAGCAGATGCTCATGTGGCGCTGTGTGCCAGGCACTGTTCTCAGAGCCTTCTGTATTTTAACTCAATCCTTACAACTCCATGAAGTACGTGTTAAATATCACTAGTTGAGGAATCAGAGGTGCGGACAGGTTAAGTCATGTGCCTAAAGGGACACAGCTGGGAAGAGGCAGAGGCAGGACTGGAGCCATGCCACCTAGTTCTGGGTGGTCCAGGGGTGTCCTGGGCCCATCTGAGGGGAGCCCCACCTCATGCATCCTTGGTATTTTCAGGTCAGAGCTGAAGTCCTCATAACACAAACTGTGATCTGGAGTCTCTCTGTTGGGCTGCTGGTGTTTGGAGAACCCTGCCTTGGGGCCCGCCCTCACCTCCTTCCCTGCCTTTCCTCCCCACCCCGAGCCCTCTGTGCCACTAGGAGAGGCCTGACGTTGCTCCCCTGCCTGCGTTTCTGGAGCTCCTGTCACCAGCGTGCCCTCTCCATCTCCCTGCCGCCTGTCCTGCTCCGATCTCAATTCTCATTTCCCCCTGCAGCTTTGGCTTCCATGACCTGCAATGCCCCCTGCCCTGTGGCTGCTGGGCCCCTGCACCCTCACCCCTACCTGCCAGGTTCAACTTCCTTCCCAGTTCCGGCTGGCCTTGGCCTCGGGCAGCGGGAGGATGGAGCCCTGGGCAGCAGTTTTTCAGCTCAGCCCCAGAGAGCCAGGTCTTGCTTCTGTTCTGCCACAGATTTGGGTTCCAGTGGGCAGCAGCCTTGCTCCCTGTGACCCCCACAGGGTGACCTGGGTCCCCAATCCTCAGGGCCTGTGTCCTTCCCTTAGCTCTGCAGAGTGGAGGCCTGCCTGGCCTCCTGTATCTCCAGCTAGGCTCTCACCTTCTCTCTGCAGCCCTCCTTCAGTCCCTGCCACCTGCTCCAGCTGCCCTTGGACTGTGGGCAGGTGCCCTGATGCTGCGGACTGTACAGTCCTCTCCAGGGATCGGCCCTCCGCCCCTTCCCCGCCCATCTGTTGGCCTCAGCTCCACCCGCTGGGTCATGGAACAGCCCAAGGACTGCCCTTGGCCTCCTTCTCTGAACTCCCTGCACACTCAACTCGTGGCCAGTGGCCTTCCCTAGAAGACTGCAGGCCCCTGGAATATAGGGCTCACAATGTACCCTGGTGTCTTAGTCAGTTTTGGCTGATAACCAAATGCCATAAACAGGATAGCTTATAAACAAAAAGGATGTATTTCTCACAGCTCTTGAGGCTGGGAAGTCCAAAATCAAGGGGCTAGAAGCTGCGGTGCCTGGTGAGAGCCTGTTTCTCGTAGGTGGCCCTTCCCCCTGTGTCCTCACAGGGCAGCAGAGGCCAATGAGCTCCGTGGGGCCTCTGGCCTAAGGACACTAATCCCATTCATGTGGGCTCCTCCCTCATGACCTTATCTCTTCCCAAGGGCCCCGCCTCCCAATATCTTCACCCTGGGGGCTAGGATTTCAGCTTCTGAATTTTGAGGAGACATGAACATTCAGAACATAGCACATAGTAGTATAAGCTGTTAACAAGAGGGGACAGTGGGTGTGGGGTATATGAGAGCTCTGTGGTATTGGTGCGTTGTTTTATAAGTCTAAACTATTGAAAAATTTAAAAGTTTATTTTGAAAAAAAAAAAAACTGTGGACGCAGATGCTGTGTGACTTGTAATCCAGCCTGTGGGTAGCTCTGTCCTAGACAATGCATGCCCCAGTAGGCAGCCCGCCAAGGTCTGTGAGTTGACCAGTGGGCCACATTGACGCTTCTTCTGCCCCTTTCTTCCCATGGTCGTGCTCTCACCTCCCCTACCCCCTCACTTTAATTCAAATTCATGCCTTCAGCTGAATGTTAATCAATACTGACCTCTTTGCAACCACATAAAGAATATCATCTGCTTGAAATTACTTTAGACTCGGGATCAGTGAGCCCTGAGGTTGGACAGGACCTCAAACATTATTTTGAGGGTGTCTACCTCCCCACCCAGCTTTTCTGAGAGCGTGTACACCCACTGCATGGATGGCCTCTGTCACCGTGTTTTTATGTTTGAATCATGAGACTCCATTCCCATGAGGGATTTGCTATTGAACCAGGACTGAACGCTTGACTCAGGGCAGGCCAAATCTGTACTCTTGCCAATGGCCTTTCAGATTCTGAGGAAAGAATATGAATTATAAAACCCAGAAACAGAGCCGGGAGCTGAGTCACCACGGTGGGGCTATGGCTTGGAGCTGATCTCATTCCCTCAATCCCTGCAGCTCAGTTGTTCAGCTTTTCCTTGGATTCTGTGAGAGCTGAATTCATTCCAGAAATCCCCCTCTAACCTAAGCGAATCGAGAAAGTTCCTTTTCGTAATGAGAAGGACATTGCCGAGGATAGTCACTTTGCTAACCCACTGTTCTGCTTGATGGCAAGTGGTCATTCATCATTTCCTCAAATCTCATCAAGAGAAAAACCTCACGCCTCTTAGTGCTACTCACTTCATATTGGAGAGCTGCACTTCTGAGAAGGCTCTTTTTTGATTTTGCATCAAAAAGTGTTTCGCTTTGATCCATCCCAGATTTGCTGTTCTGGGCCACTGTGAGTGGGTCTCATCTCATGTGTATCTCTTTGTTGTCCTTTTCCCTACTTACCAAAGTCATACTTGCTTGTTAGTTTTAAAAAGTCAATACTTGAACCTTATAGAAATGTTTGAATCCCCTTTCCACATGACAGTCCTTCAGCCGTTTGAAGATGGTGCCCATCTAGGCTTCCCTTCTCTGAGGCAGGACACCCTTCGTTCTTTCGGTTGTTTCTCGCATAACACATAGCAAGGTTTCAAAATGTGCTCCAGATCTGATTCGAAGTTGTCCTGCATTTGTGTGCAGACAGTGGGTGAGTCATGAGCAAGTCTAAGATGAAGCCAGAACACAGCATGGTAAATGTGATCTCATGGGTGTAACGAAGATGATGTGATGAGACTAAAGCTCGGCTATGGTCTTAGGAGGATATTTGAAAGAGGCAGACTTATTGGGAAGGGTGCTTTGCTTTGTTGTTTTGTTTTGTTTGAGATGGGATCTCTGTGGCCCAGGCCGTTGTGCAGTAGTGCAATCCTGGCTCACTGCAGCCTTGATCTCCTGTGCTCAAGGGATCCTCCCACCTCAGCCTCCCAAGTCGCTGAGACTATAGGCGCATGCCACCATGCCTGGCTATTTTTTATTTTTATAGAGATGGCAGGGAGTCTATGTTGCCCAGGCTGGTCTTGAACTCCTGGCCTCAAGTGATCTGCCCATCTCTGCCTCCCAAAGTGCTTGGATTACAGGTTTGAGCCACCGTGCCCAGTCTTAGGAATTGTGTTAAGAAGCCACATGCCTGCTTCAGAATCCTCAAATCCGAGGGCTTGCATGTAACACTTGAGGAGCAGCTGTCATTTAGGAGAGAACGAGAGAAAGTCCTGGCCTGGATCATAAAGCCGTTATCTCTAGGTCACAGCAGCAATGGGGCGGGAAGTATCTCATCTATGGGGGCATCCTACTTACCCACCATCAAGGGGTCCAGCAAGTTCCCACCTTGCCTGGAGGTTGCTTTCCATTTCTTGAGAGAGAGAAATTGTTGCTTTGGATGAAGTTCTGACAGACATGGAACGGTAGCGTGGGAGCAATTTGCCAACAGAGACTTTGTCCCTGGCAGGGAGGGGAGGCAGCAGGGCCAGGCGCTTATCCCACACTTGTGTATGAAGGCATTTAGGAAAGACACTCCGCAAGGAAAGGCAGCGCTTGAATTGCACCCTGCCTCTGCTGGACGAAATATCCTAGTGAGGAAGGAAAGGCAGAGGTGACGACAGAAATCAACATGGCTACGAGTGAATAGCAAGGGTCTCATTCATAAATTCAAAATTCGAACGTGTCAGGCACCACCATCAGGCCGAAGGACCCGTGTAGAGAGACAGCTGGCTGCCTTCCAGTTACCCGTCTCCCCCCATCTTTTTTTTTTTTTTTTTTTTTGTAGCTCGTGCCTGTAATCCCAACACTTGGGGAGACTGAGGTGGGAGGGGTTTAAGACCAGCATAGTGAGATCCTGTTTCTATAAAAAAATAAAAAATGAGCTGGGCATGGTGGTGTGTGCATGTAGTCGCAGCTACTTAGGAGGCTGAGGTGGGAGGATCACTTGGGCCCAGGAGATTGAGACTGCAGTGAGCTGATAGCACCACTGCACTCCAGCTTGGGTGATAAGAGTGATTCTGTCTCAAAAGAAAAAGAAAAAAGGCCGGGCGTGGTGGCTCACGCCTGTAATCCCAACACTTTGGGAGGCCGAGGCAGGCAGATCATGAGGTCAAGAGATCAAGACCATCCTGGCCAACATGATGAAACCCATCTCTACTAAAAATACAAAAATTAGCTGGATGTGGTGGCACGTGCCTGTAGTCTCAGCTACTCAGGAGGCTGAGGCAGGAGAATCGCTTAAACCCAGGAAATGGA